TTGAACTTTTTTGACATATTTTACTCCCTGACGGCTAATGAGTCACTACAGGGAACAATTACTGGCGTATATGGAACTCCATCCCTTCATTACTTGACTGGTCTGTCCACGGCCGCTGGCCCTACCGTAGGCGTAGCCTGGGCATGCTGGGTGTGTACGCTACGGCAGTGTCATTGCATGTACTTGTATGAAACAACTTACCCAAAGTATTCAAAACGGATGAAACTAGGCAAAATTCACACTTTTCACGTTGGACTGTCAGTTTTGCACAGAACACACCCTTCTTACGCACGTTCAGATTTCAGAATCGCTCCATATAGTGGCCGGCGCGGACTTTCTTGCATGCACTGGCTGATACAATTGACGATTACCAGCTAAAGGGTTCGACTTTGTAATAACATAACGCGTACCCGGGAGACAGGGCCATATGCCGCTGGCCGGGAGTTAGTCTTGGCCCAAGACGTCAGTGATCGATGGTTGTTTTATTTCTGTTGAGCGCTCTACTCTCTCTCTCTCTCTAGCTCTCTTTTTCTCTCTCGTTAGTGCGAGCTGGCGCACAGTCTAATTATGAGTCGTCAGGTAGGTGGTGCGCACTATGCACGGTGTCCGCTGAAAAGCACTAACGTCTTGAAACCAAGACTAGCTGGGTGTACGTGGCGAGCATCGTTTTTCCAGCGCTTTACTGTATGTTAATAATCGTATGGCAAGTCGTAGCCACAAGATACACTATACCGTATACCCAGACCTCTTTATGTAAAACTAGATGTTCAGTCCGGAGGGCCTGGCTAGGTGCAGCTTGTGACTGAGTCGTTAGAGTTAGGTTAAATTTCTTTGACGATCGCCGTAGGAAATGGTTGTCACTTCAGCAAGTTGTCACGCGGATCCACCCTAGCTTGCAGTTGTTTGCCATTCTTTCCTCCATGATCATGAACACATGCGACTGAGTGGCGTGTGATCGTCCGAGAGACGCAGGCCTAGGCCTAGTCGCTTGAGCATTGCGGATAGCCACATCCTGCATGCATGATGAGCTTGTGAGAGGAGGACGCCAAAGCAGCGAGTTCAATGATGTCCCGACATCATTTTACAAGAAAAACCCACTTTCATCTTCATAATACTTGTATCTTCACTCCTGCTCGATCACAGACATGTTAGTCTCAACACTGACTTGACTGAGACCATATGGACATGATGGAGACAAATGCCATGGCATCCACACAAACTGACATTGACTGTTTCCATGACATCGGTAATGAAGATGATACTTCCATTATTGATGCCGAATGGAATAAACTGAAGTCTTCCCACACTAAGGTACATGTTGGAGACTATTATAAAAGGCAGGAAATCATTTCACCCTCGAAATTCCCAACAACATATGCCTGGCATATGCCAGCCTGGCCTATTCATCGCCCTTTTTGTCATGTTTGTGTTTTTTTACATTAACCCTAATCCCCTACATGCCCTAGGGTGTATGTAAAATCATATTGAAATCGGAGGATTTAGATTACAAGTTGCAACTAAAAGTGAAACCTTGTCCTGGGGACCCCAAAATCTAAGCTACAGGAACTTGGTATGCCTAATTGCTTTAATTTTATACCAAGTTTTTTGCCCCTTGGATGTACCATACATTTTCACATTGGTTTCTCACTGTGGTCTCTGAGAGTTGTGTAAAATTGCAGGGTTATTTGGATAGGATTTAAATCCATGATTTTTTGCTTGTTAGTGCTTTACTTGATCATCATGTGTGGTAAATCAACAATAGTGACAGTTAATGTTTCTGTTTTTCTGTAAGGAGGGTTATAGAGATGGCTACAGTGCAGGTGAAGAGGCAGTCTTGCAGGATGCATTCAATACAGGTTTCACTCATCAAGTTAACTTGGAAACCTGTGCGGCTTTCTACAAAGGAATTCTTTGGTATGCCCAGTAAAAGCAGTGGCTTAACAGCAAATATTATGCATGTGTTAAAAATGTGGCTTTCAGAAACTTTTCTTCCAGTCCTTTTGCTTACATGTACATCCTTGTTTTATTATCTTTATTTTTTAGGGCATTGAAGACACTTTCAGAGCAATCTAGAGCTTCCAGAGGCTCACCTAAGGTGTGTCTGAATGCCCCTGACATATTGAAGATCGAGTTACAGCTGGAAGAGCTAAACAGCATCGTTAGAGGAAGTGATTTGATGGATAAGATGAATATGCCACCAGCAAAGGAAACACATGGAAAGGTTACAAGGGAATGCACCTCAGAAAAGGCAGATTTGGAGTTAAATGCCGGAGATGACGGACAATCATACAGCCGTGAATGTTTGCAAAGTACATGTACATGTACTTCAGTGGGACAGCATGTAAATGTAAAAACAGCCCACTCTTTAGGTTTTCAAGACCTTTCTATACAACCCTCTAGTGTACGTGTATCAGAAGGGCCGCATGCTATTGAAAACACAACAATAAAACAGTCATTTCAGTTTGGGGACTTGGAAAAGAAAACTGAATCTGTGCCAAGTTTCTGTCACTCGGCCGGCCAGGTTATATCACAGAATCAAGAAAATGAAATTACAGGTGATGAAGCAGCATGTTGCAGCACCTCAAAGGGCATTTGTCAGTCAGTTGTTTCAGAGGGAGACCCATTATATGGTACAACTTCAGAACCTTCCAGTGTTAGAAAGTTCAAGGAAGAAAGATTTGAAATTGACGGTTCGAACACTAAAGTGAAGAAGATTGTTGGCAATTGTCAGAATCTACTCAAAGAACTTGGTATTGGAGATACATGTATGCTGCAACTGCATCCTTTTGGAGAGTACTTGATGCACTAGCTGCTTAAGATAAACTGTCAGGAGATCAGGCATACATATCTGTAAATCATTGAGCAATTTCCAGATATTCCTGGGTTTTCACTGACTTGTACACTTCATTTATTCCTTTAAATAAAAACACTGCAGCAATAAATTGCCAAATATGTTAATAAATTACACAGTTTGCATGTACATGTATATGCATATTACAGAATATTTTGTAGTGTAATTTTCTCATTTGAAATAATTTAAAATGATTAAAAGCTTAATTTGATTTCAAAACGTATGTAAGAAAGTCAACGTGATATTTAATGATAAATTATGTAGTAAACCTTGACAAATTAAAGTTCCAACTCGGCATTTGTCATCAATTCAACAGAAATGCTGGTCCTTTACATGTGTAAAATCAAAATTGCCTCCGTTGCTATGTCACATTAATGAAGTGTTACTCAATCTATCAAAACTCATGCTCGGCAGACAACGAAATGGGTTTAAAGAGTACAAAATACATCAGTGCTGAAAGCACTATTTAGAACCTAATATCCATTACTACTTCATGCAACACAGCTATCTTTTTACATGTACTTTTGAAATGAGCCTTTTGTCCAAGGCAATGATACATGTATTTGAAATTTTTATTCTTGACATGTTTCAACTGAACATTAATTGGGTGAGGAAGAAGTTACAAGTTATCTTTCACCTTAAACATTAAAATTACAATAAAATACCAGTATTCAATTTCAGGTGTTCTCCATCTCTCAGGTTTTACAAGGGTTTTGCACAACATGGTGAGTTAGGGTTACAGATCCTATCATCACATGGTGCAACATTCTACAAAAAATGACAGTGAAACGTAAATGTTCATGATGAAATATGCATTTACCTTGATTCTAGATTATTTCCCTTTACACTTTAAACAATCCTGGACAATCTATGTGAAATCAAACCAATCTGGAAATCACAAGTGTAGATATTTTTTCAAGTCTGTACATCAAACAGTCTCGTTGCATGTGAATGAGTCAAGTATGATTAAAATTTCTGTTTCCAAGTTAAAAGTTGAACCTAAAAATTAATAATAAAAGGCCACAACTACCGCATGAAGTACACGCTTATAGAGCAACAATAGCAATTCAATTTGCTTAGTACATGTAAATTAATTTATCCTGTGAACTAGTTGGTTGTAAATTAGAATCACCGTCATGACGATGTATATCTCAGTTGGTCGGACCTTGGTATTGCCGTCTGTGGACCATACAATTTCTCGGCCCGTTTCTCAAATGCTTTCACCATATTCTTCACAACTTCATCGAAGAAAAGTGTTGAGAGATTTGAGTGAAGAGCAGAACGAAACTCGAAGGATACCTAAAAGAAAAAAAATTCAAACATTAATCCATGAAAAATAATGCTGACATAGATAGCTATGATCAGGACTGACAGAGGCAGGTTCTTCAAAAAACATTTCAGCACAAAGTTCATTGTGTCTGATTTTGATAGCCACATAATTACCAGTATAATGCACCAGCAATATTTTGTAATGTCTTTTATGCTGTTGCTGTACTTCTGTGGTAATTTGTAATCATATGAAGCGATGTAAAAAAGAAAAACATGATGACTGTTAGGCAAAAAAGTCTTCATCTCAAGTTAGTATGCATGTCTATTTTAAGCATGCGCGCCAATCATTTTATTCTCTGTGAGACCAACAGCACCATCTCCTGCTGCACTACCTCAGGCAGCTTGATCTTTTACTCAGGGCGATGGATTCTGATGAGGTCGATGTTGAACAATGATAGCAGACTTTGGATATGAAGTTGTTTGTTGTCAGCTTATGATCATAATAAAACTGGTCTAGTTCCTTGACTCAACAAGTGTCTGCAAATGTCTGTACATATATAATCTAACGCAGGAGGGGAAAAAAAAAGCTGCATCACCACATTGATTCCGGAACATCAGTCTGACCAGACACAAACTACATGTATTTTCTTTTGGGGGGGCCTTACAGTAAATGTTCTGAAAGTGAAATACTTACAGAGAAGTCTATGGTGCATGTATGTGGTTTATAAGGGATGCCTGGTCCAAACCTCCAGGTTGTATACAGATGGTTAAATAATTTCCCATCAGTACACACAGACTATATGGTCAAGCAAAAAAGTATAAAGTAATATCAGAGATGAAAGCCAATAACAAGTGCGAGGAAACAACAGCTTCAATTCCATTTTTTTCAGTGTGCAATCATACATGTACATGTATCTGATGTGGACTGCATTCAGACTGCAGTTTCTAACAATTTTATTGCTCCTGAAACTTCTAAGATACAAATGTTACTAAAAGTACAAAGTATAATCACTCCAAATACTGACAGAATTATAATCACATTAGATTCCTTAAAAATATTTCACGAATTGATGTGGAAATATTAGTACACATTTCATGAACCTGGCCTTTGATGCTTACTATATCATAGCTTCACTTACTTTAACTAGGTGTGGTTTAACTACAGTTACTGTGGAAGTATATCTTTCAACTAGAGGTGGAAATCCAATTTCTAAGTCTGCTTTGAAATGACCAGCCTTCCTTGATCTGATGCTTGAACGGATGCACCATGGTACAAATTCTTTGTAGTTCTCCACACTACTGACGACCTCATACATGTCTTCCATCGAGTATCTGAAACAAAATGTGGCAAATAAGAGCTCAAGTTTGTTTAAAACAAAAGACTGTTACCAAGCTCACTTGTTTGGCTCTTGCATGTATGTGGTAGCCTTCAGGTACATTCAATCACTGGGCTGTGTGTTAACAACATTTAACATTACCAGGATGTACAATGGCGCTGGGAAAACACAGACTTTTTAATGATTTATTAATACATTCGTTTTACAACTTACCCAACAATTATTCTTTCTGAATATTCTTTGCGTTTATCAAGGATTGACAAAAAAGATCTTGATGGTGCTTCACGTAATTGTGGTAGCACTTGTGTTCTGTTTAAGCATCTTTCCTTCAGCAGACTTCTTTGATGTTGATGAGGTATCATGATGCTTACACATACATGCCTGCTACGACAAAAGCTATAAGAATAAAATAAAGGAGTTTGATTAGACATTTCATTTCCTTAAACAGGCAATTGCCTTTATGCCCCTGGTCTTTGCCTCAACACCCACTGAAACGTCCCCCAGACAAGTTGATTGTCTAATACAAGTGCCTTTTGCAACAGAGAAATTACCTTGCCCTTTCAAAAACAAAGTTCCTGCCCTGGTAAACAGCACAAAATCTTCTTGGATTGGGTATAGTGAGATTTTTGTTCGCAAAGACTTATCACAGCACTTTGGTAATTCTATGAGAAAGAGTTCTGTACTTGGACACCATAACCATGTTTATGAAAAAACCAACAGGTTTTAAATATGACCAAAACCTATTTCCCCAAGACAATGTCAATTTTTAAGCGGACTTATTTTTTTTTCAAAGAAAGGTTGTATCTATTTTGTTTGTTGACAATTACATAGACCTAGGCCTGAATGTGAAACTTTCACTTAATTCTCAAAAAATTAACAGTTAAAGTTAGGCAGTGGATATTTGGGTTCATGGTCCAACTTTGAGCTTTGCTGACATGTGCTGGCACATTCATGAGTGTTTCTGGACACTTTGAAGTTTTCCCATAACTTTTAGCATTCTTGTCCCATTTTTGCATTGAAATTAAGAATTTGTATTCGTATAGCAGACGTTGGACACCACAGTTCTGGGGGTAATATGATGTAGTAGTAAATTTCTGAACTTTTTCTGCTCTGAAAAAAATTCTCCAGAGCCACAAATTACAATAACAAAAAGACATATCCTGCAATGGAAAAATCTGAAAGTAGACTTCAGGCCTAGGCTTCTCGTACTACAAGTACTTACTTTAGAGTCTTAGTAGTCCAACTAACTAACGTTAATTTGCCTCTAACCATGCTTGGGCCTAACATCTTTAAAGGTTTGGCATGTTTGCACATGACACATGATTTGATGATAGGCAAGAGTAGTGAACCACGTCCATGTGTTAAAAGAGCCGATTCGTAGAGTTTACTTTAGTACTTACAGAACCGCAAGTCCCTACTCTTTCAAGGCCTGCTGAGTGTTGGCCTACTAAAGACCATGCATAGAAAGTAGGGCTAATCATCACCTGATCATGGTAGGCTAATTTAGGGCATGGAGCTGGAGGAAGGAACACCTTCCTCCGTCCATGATTAGGGTAGGCCTACTCACATCTGTAACGATCTCTTGAAGGGCCTGAGGTTTAAACAAAGCACAGAAAACATTATTATCCATGCATTCTCGTGTAGTTTTGCTACTTCTGTGTAGATGTGATTGTGTCCGCAATTTACACAGATATTTCAGCTGACATTTTGACACAATTCACTATAATCTGTCCGTGACCTAGTTTGCTGACCGGCCGGTATGTACGTAACTGCCGCACCGCCGACTCACGTATTCGTCAAAGCAGGGTCAAGGTACCAGGTCATTCTTTCGGCACATTTAACCTTGGATTCCGGTAAAACTGAAGGAACCAGTCTAGCAAGTAACGAATATTAGATATGGAGAGCAAAATGTACAAAATATACAAGCAAATCAAAAAGAATTCGGCCGATGTGTTACACGCATTTTGGCAAAAAGATTTTCGTATACACTTCAGTTTCGCTATTCTTAATGCAGCTAGTCAAAAATACACCGAAAATTTAAAAGTTGAGAACACTACAGCAAATCTACATATACCAGTTAGCATCCGCTAACATTTACCCATTTTAATCAATTTAAATCACGCCAATCAACACGCCCAATTTCTAATTCCCTATGTCCCACGCGGCATCGGTGAAAGGTACTCTTGTCCCCTCTCTCTAAAATCCTCCATGATAACACCATGGCAAGTTTGGTGTTTAAGTTCTTCACATTTGGCGGTTTGAAATGTTCAGGTTCATGCACGTCGATCAAACTAAAACAAAACTAATCGGGAGAATTAACGACGAATTAATTAACATGTACATGTATGTAAAAATTAGTCGGAAGCCACCGCTATGGGAATCACACATCAAGCGCTTTTTTGACCAGTGCCAACATGTTCTGAAATTCGCACGAAGTCAGCAGGTTAAATTAAGTGCGAAATTTGTTTAGAAAACACAGGGGTTGGGGGAGATTAAAAAAATTTAAATATGAAATATAAAAACCAACGCCATGGGCGTGAAATCCGGGAGGGCGGTGTTGTGAAGTATTACGGTCTTAACTACAGAACAATACATTTAAACATGTACCCAAAACTCATGAAAAAAAATATCAAAGGAACCTTATTACATCTATTTACAGATATGAAGGTTTTATTGAATAAAATGCAAGTTTCCATAAAGCTCAACTGTGGTTTCTAGCTCTACAATAGCTCTACCTGCAATGCACATATCATACGGTAAAGATAAAGGCAAATATTAATTTTGGAAAAGTGAGGAATTCTGTATTGAATGGAAAAAAATTCTTTCAGGCATTTTTAGCCCCTTTTCAATAGTGACGCAAATATGGTAATGTCATACGTGATGGAAAAAATGTATTCCAAGATAACACCAACTATAAACAGATTTCCAGTCCAAATACACCTTGAAACAATATCAGTACATATACCACAAGGGCAAGAAAGAAATGATCATTCCGTGACTAAATTCTACTTGAAAACAAATGTCCATTTGAAGTTCTGATTTTTTTCTAGGATGTATCAGGAAATATGGTCCTGCGCACTACACAACACCTTTTTAGCACACCAAACATTTTCAATAATCAGTATAAACCAACTGACTTATCTGTCAGCTAGATTTAAAGCATTACAGTAAAGATAATAGCATACCCTCGTGCATTTCTTACACAGAGTACATGTAAATAACTCTTAGACTTATGGGGTGTTGTGACTTGCCGAACTGCATATTCATTTTAAGCTTTCAAATGCAGGTAAAGTGCCAGAATGGGATATTACCAAAGTAATGGGGTCTCCTCAGGTTAGTTTAGATAATACATCTATAAACATAGACAAAGATGTTACATCACTTGGATGCATTATCAATAAGCAAGGTACATGTACATGTATATGAATCACATATGCCCTTACTCCACTTCTATGCAAATGTTAAAGTCTACCTAAGGATGCAGAACAGAATGGATTCAGTCTGCTCAGGGAGATAAATCACCAGAATGGAATAATTTTTTTCAGTCAGAACAAAATATTACCTCTTCTCCAAGACTAAAAAACCAAATTCTTCATTCAAAGCCTTCTATTTACAAAAGCAACTGTTCAACTAAGGTCTGATGGTAGAATTTCTTGTAAATCCATTATCATGTAGATAATTAACAGAAACTTCTACTTCATTGTTAAAACTAACAAAGTGATAATCAAAATACTATCAGTTGTTGAAATCTCCTATTCCAGAAAACCAAAACATTTATGCTTACACAACTTCCCAATATAGTTTGTAAGACTTCCAACGAATGTATGTATATAGGATAATGATCCATTCTCTCACTTTATACATTCACTCCTTCTCTGGCTTTTTAACAGATTTATCAAGCTAAAGCTAGCTACCCTAGCCTTTTAACAAATAGGCTTTCTGTTGTAATAAGGTTTAAAGAGAATTTGACAAGTGGTTACAACTGATAAGAAAGCAACTATCTGTATTAGTAATTATGATTTTTCTTGCCCACTAAGTTGGAAAATTTTTATCATTTTTTGAACAGCCTTGTCTTAACATCTGCTAGAAATGTGGAAATTTATGCCATTTGATTTCAATTAAAAGTCAACTGAATACAAGCTACTATGGTAGTCGAATTTGGTAACATTCAAGTCAATGCACACTAAAAACAACAATTCCCGTTGAATGTAAAGTTCCATTCTCACATTAACACATACAATGCACTGTTTAGATCAACAAGTGTACAACCAATAGAAAATAAGTACCGGTAGTCCAATCCTGACAGGTTGAACGAAGTATCTGGGTTATACATGTAATTTGTTAATTGGCTGTTAACATGACAAGGTATAAGGGTGAGATCTTAACGTAATATGATGGAGAGTTAACTTCGAACGTGGAAAGAACCTGACAATCCAAGGCAATTCATAAGAAATACTCCAGCTCATATCTCACATACTGATTCTTCTCATCATTGGGAACCCGTGGATAGCCAGCTACCAGTGAATCCTGTGCACCAATGTACAATGTATTGTAGATCTTCCAATACACATCACGTACCTTCCTTGCTGGGTGGAACAGACCCTGCAAATATAATAGAACGCCAGATACTTGTAATCAGGTGGATGTGTAAAGATTAGAAAGCAAGACACTTGTAATCAGGTGGATGTGTAAAGATTAAAAATTTGTTTAAAACTGTCAGTACACTGAACAAGGTGAGATTGACCAATGATAAAAAAAAAACTGAAAGCAGTTGAAAAAAAGGCTGAAGAACTGATAATCTCCTGTACTTTTGTACACAGCCAGTCTGGAAAAAAAGCTGAAATTTAAAACAAAAACTGAAATCAGCTAAAAAGCTGAAAAATCTCACCCCTAACTAACAATAGCCAAGGTTGGACGTCTTTACTACACTTCAACTAACTGTTTCGGATCTATTCATCATGCATAATGCACAGTAACTTCTAGTCTGGTTTCCAGGCTAGATTAAAAGAAACCAAACCCTATGTAAGCAATCTCTGATACACCAGGGAGCCAGCCCACTTTATAAGTCTCCACGTGAGAAGCAGCTTTGGGATATTTATGATGGAAGCATGAGACTGATATATTTTTGTACCGAGGCTTCATGTAATTCTGTTCATATTAAATATGGGAATGGAAGTTCAGCTACCTCTACATGGTGAAAGTGTGAAAACAAGCGGTAAAAAGTTTATGGCGAGAGGGATTGATACCCTGGATGTTAGACCCAATGTAATCAAGATGTCATCCAACTCGGGCTACCAGAAACACGGTTTTAAATACCATAGTTGGTCCCAATTCTGTTCAGATGCCTATACATGCTACCCAACTCTCAACTTAATTGTTACTAGTCAATTTACATGTGGACATCTCATAATTGATTGGTTAGAACAAAACTGCTCCTCCCAGCTTCTGCTTTTGAACCATATGTACCTGCAATGCATACTGTAGCATCTTGTTGGCACCGAGACCAACTCTCATTCCTTCAATTGCATCCATCACTGCCTGGATGACATGAGGTGATGTCTCAAAGATGTTGGGCCAGACAAAGTTGAGAAGATGAACGAGGGCATCTTCACAGCCGAAACCAAATACACCGAGTGACATATGCTTAATGGCAGCACAGGCTGTCTGACGATGGACCAAGTCTCTGAGTGAATACAATATAATCAAGTGAGAAAAGTCAAAGAAGTATACCATCAAGAGATGGCGTGCAAGGAGCACTTGTTGTTTGTGCAAGATACATGTACATCATCACGTGACTAGGTTTCAGTGGTTATGCTTTCCCTCACTGCCCACAAGAAGTCAAGTAGACACTGTAGTGCTCATTAATAACTGCTTGACTTCCTTTGGATTAGCCCAAGTGGAAAAATTGGAACTCATTCACACAACATGAAAACCAGATTCAGATTCACACAGTCAACCAGTCAAGTGGATATAAAACATATAAACCTGATCAAGAAATATACCTGTCCATTAGAGCATCTTCCAGCAATGGTGTCACAGCATAGATGTAATCTTTGCCCATTTCACCAATGTACTCGAACAGGAAAGACAGTGATTTCAGTACACCATTCTGTACATTCAGCTCAGGTACTCGATATTCATTCATTAGAGCTGGTAGAACAGTAAATGGTGAGCACGTCTCTGCTACAATGGCAATAGCAACTGTGGTACAGACACGATTCTGGCGTTCCTGGACCTTCAGATTGTTGAGAAGAGTGGCCAGGACATCATGTGGACTGAAAAGGAAATAGACATATTTGAAGAAACTCAATATACATGTACACATCAAAGCCTTATGACCTCATTAGGGAGCGATCCAGAAGGGGGCCCAGGGGTTTTGCGCAGTAAACCTCGAGGTTTTTGAGGTTCGGCTGCAAGAATGGCTCTTGAATATACATGCATAAACCTTGAGCTGCAGGTCAACTTCACACGCATGAATGGTCTCAGGATGAAGCTTTTGGTGCAGGGAACAACAGAGCTACAGCAGATAATGACAGATGGTGGCTGCTATTAGGGATTATAAGATTAAAGGATTAAAGGTGTTTACTTGTCTTGGGAAGGCAGGTATCTAATTACAAGTAGGATTACTAGGAGATTATCTTGAGGCTTAAATTATTCTTTTGTCTGTGCATTGGGGTCATCTGCGTGGGGGTTAATCAAAAGTGTTCCTCTACCGAGGCTGGCCGATGTGCGCTGACCTGTGGATAATGAGCTCATTATAGTACGATGAGAGAAACCTCGAAAAACCCAGTGGCCCCGCGAGGTTTACCGTGCAAAACCTCCGGGGCCCCTTCTGGATCGCTCCCTTATTTGTCAACAGATTAAAAAACGTTATAAAGTTTACTCCTTTTGGCTAGATCTTATCAGGCACTATGTAACATTTGTGCTGTAGTCACGCTGCTATTGAGTGATGATTTCTTTGAGCTGTCTTAGTATGGCAGAGATTTTAGCATTTTCTTGAGGTACTGACTATGACTACTATGAGGATGCTTACCCAATAGCCTTTGCAATGTAGCCAAAAGTATTGACTGTGGCTCTTCTGATGGCTTTCTTGTGGGCCTTGAGAAGTTCTAGAAGCTCAAAGCAAATCCTCATCCATTCTCTGGCTGACACATACTCCGCACCTCGATCAGCAATACGACCAACCAAATCAATGCAATTCTCCTGCACCTTCTCATGTCTGTAAAGATGAAGACAGTAACCACAAAACATTGAACGTTATCTACAAGGTCATCACATAACTTCTATGACCACTTTTAAGGAAGAGGTAAACCACTGAACGTTATCTACACGTCATCACATAACTTCTATGACCACTTTTAAGGAAGAGATAAATCCCATGGAAACTTTAAAGGTTTTGTTTTTCTACTTAAAAATATGATCACAAATAAAGCATCCTACAAAATATATTTTGTTCTTACCTGTTTTTGAGGATTGGTGTCAATCTTGGCAGCAGATCTTTAATTGGTGGAGTCATCTTATGCATACCAATGACATTGACAATGGACTTGAGAGCTCCTAGAATGCTTCCTAGCACTTCTGGGTATTCTTCACCAAGATACTCATACAGGACAACACCAAGATGCCCCATCAACTTCTCCTACAAGGTGAAAACATAGCATGTGTCACAAACATGTGGGATCAATGGATAATTTGTGTGAATATTTTTCAAGGAATATCATTTTTCTTTACCTCTTGGCATGTCCTCATGACGACTGCGATTCTGGAGATGAGATCAGCAGCTTGCTGACGAACTTTAGCAGCCTTGTTGTTGAGACGCCAGAGGATGGTACCACAAATCTGTGGTAGGTAAGGCTTGACTCGCTTACCCAGAGCATTCACAACAGTACCAAAGCCATTCAACATCACAGAGTCCTGAAACAGAACAGAAATCAATGAAGGTCACAGATTTTTTTTCATGAAACTGGCTTCCCTAATGTCCGAAAATACAAGACTGATTCCATCTAGATGAGCAACAAGATTAGAATAAAAAGCACCTGTTTCATGTTCAAGTCGTTGGAAATTGATCCAGAAACTTACAATTTAATCATACAGTCCTGCTATGCTGTAAAAATATCAGACTTACCTCTGTGGTTTGTTCTTGAAAGGCATACAGGATACCATCGATGAGTTGTTCTTCAAGCCTTGAATCAATGTCTGCTGCTCCTAAGTTGCCCATTATCTTTTCAATGGTCTCCATCACCATCTTACGATACTGTTCTGCTTCATCTTTCAGATCATCAACAATGCGGCCAATAATCTCAGCAGCTCCGACCTTATTGGCCAACTCCACAGTGGTATCTACCAGCTAATGACAGAAAAACAGAAATCATGAACATTATAAAAAAAACACTGCCTGAGGCAATCTACTGACATCTCTTCATCAACCCATGATCACTGTCAATGATGTGGCTGAATATAACAGTTGCTCTATTTTTATTGACAAGTTCAATAGTTACATCCACAGGTTTATCAATCTAAGCCTTGAATTGTCTCTTACCTGTCTGTAATTACGCCTATCAAGAGCCATTCGATGCTGCCAGAAGTGTTTGAAGAAGGATGGAAGGACTTCATCTCGAATATACTGAGCTTCTACACCATCGGTTGCACAACACTGCTTTACCACCTACAGTCAAAAAACACCACAATATATAAAGTTATCTTCAAACAAAATTCTGTATTTGTAATTATACTCAATTCTTTCACAATAACATGCAGTCAACTTAAGAAATCTGTAGAGGCTGACACCAGATAAATGGTATCCTCAAACCAGATGGACACCAAGTCAGACACATACCACATGCACAGTTCAATCAATACCTAGACACAAGTACATGTACATGAAAGAGATTACAAACGCCGCTTTGATTCTAAGGCAGTGTGTCAAATATATGAATGTATACCTTGAGCACGATCTTCTTCATCTCCTCATCAGGAGACTGGAATTCACGGATGAGAATCAACATGACTTCCCTGGTGTAGTAGTTGGCATACTCAGGATCCATCAATGGGATCAGGTATCCAATAGCCTTCAAGAACGCAGCAAGACCCTGACAGAAACAATACATCCAAATACGTAGTTACAGTCACCAACTAAATAAAATCAAAGACCGAATATCCAATTTCAACAAGTTCTGATAACTAATTATAATTTCATCACAAATATGTAATAATTGACTGAATAAATTTGAACACATTCTTAAAATTCTTGGCAATTAGATCCAACTGATGTTTAATGCCATCCTGCTATTTACTCACTTTTCCTCTGTGCTGCCTGATACCCTTCCAGAGAGGTTTCAGGACACTATCAAAGGACTCAATACCATACGGAGTAGCAGCTTCTGCAAGGGCAGCTAAGGCTAAGGCTGTGATGGTACGAACTTTCTGCTGCTCATCCACAAGTCCTGCATGCACAAAAAAATCACAAGTTTTTAAGTCCATACAAATATTTCCAATGGACTTGACCAACTTACCTAAAGGCCCCAACATTGTCAGTAAAAAAAAACAAACATTTGCCTTGCATTGTCAGTGCAGGCATTTATTCCCTCTTAGCTACTGATCAATATGTTCTAAAAATCTTGTCATTTCACTTGTCACTGAATCTTGATGGCATTCATACTGTAAGAAGCAATAGATTTGCTGTAAGATGTCTTACCATGCTCAATGATCTCCACCAGATTTCTCAGATGTGGTAGAATAGCGCATCCCATCAAGATGGCAATTTGCTGAACAATCTTGATCCCAGTGTGTCTAGCCTGCCAAGACTTCTTGCTTTTACACACAGCTTTTAAGAATGGTAGTAATGATGGGATACCCAAGGCTGAAGCTACCACAGCAAAGGCACGTGCTGTAGTGTTACGTACATACTCATCCAAGTTGTCAATATCAGGACGCATGGTTGAGATCATGGTAGCTAGTCCAGCAGCTTTAGCAAGGTTAGAGATAATCTCCCTACCTTCTACACGAGCATAGTAATCTTCATCAATCAACAGGGGTTCAATCACTACAAGGATCTAGAAAGAAATACATCATTATGATACTAACTGATTCTCTAATTGTTTATATGAACCCCAATAAATCTGGACATGTACAATAACCATGCAAGTCTAAAGGGGTCTGAGTAAACAGACACATAAGTCACGACCATACAGCGATTTGTCCTTGGGATACAATACATTATATGTCAATACATTTAATATTCTTACCTTGTGTACATATGGCCGCACTAGATCATCCAACTTGTAGAGAATACGGTCGATAACCTTGACCAATAGATGGCGCTCTTGATCCTCTAAGGTGGGAGACATCAACAATGGTAGGATTTGATTGAAGAGTGGTCCAGCATTGAATTCTCTGGCCTTATCAGTAATTTGACGTAAGGCTGCTTTACGCATTGGCGGTGTTCCATTCTTGATCTTCAGCAGTAGCTTCATGATACGACGCTCCTTCTGTTCCTCTGCACTCAATGTGCTTTCATCAATGTCATTCTGAAAGAGGAAAAGGAATTCACTCAGATAATACTATGTTCATATGAACATTCCACAACAATACACCTAGGAACAATCTGAACATCACAGCTGGCAAAATGTAAGTCTTCAACTAACACTTGGATTCCGATTAAATAGCCATTTACCCTATGGAAATAAAAAAACAAGAACGTGTGACAGTTGCCACAAAATGCAAAAGATCAAATTAAAAGGCATTTAAAAATAAACTACACTTGCTCTATGCAAGTTGGCAGTTCAACCTTTACCAACTTACCAGGAGTTTGCCAAAGTACTGAGCATCGTCAGGTTTGAGGAATGGCAGATTACCAGGAGGTTGGGCTAAGCCAGGATCAACCATCTTATCATCAGTCTGCATGTGAAATCCACTCAGTCCACCCATAGGAGTAGGGGTAGATGTCAGTTTGCGAGCTGGAGTACGGATAGGAACATAGCCTGCTGGAGGTTGAAGTACCTGAAGAAGAAAGGGTCAAACAACAGGTTGGTGTCAGCTATGACAGGTGAACCTTGTATATTTTGATAAATATCTGTAGTTAGCCAATTGCCAGATATCCCTCACGTTACAGGATTACCTTAAATCTCCCAGTTTAGTTGATTTCCTGCACCATTATGCTAGTGACCTGAATTATATCTGTCAGGTTGAATCAAGAATTACCTTGTATCCCTCGGGAAACATAGAATCCAACTCGTCGTCACTCAGTGCTCTATTTCTCTCATCGATTTCCTTCTCCCATCTCCAAGCTTGCAGTTGTTCTGGTGTCATCATTCTCAGTGCTCAAAGAAGTAAAACAATCAACACTAGATCATTATGAAATAAATGCATTTCACACAGGTCCTAACTATGCTCAACATAACGATATCTTTGTGGCTAAATCTTCACCTTTGTAGTTACAGCCTCCCCTTTAATCCCCTTTGGAAGTTTTATCTACATTAACAAATGCTAATCTGACAATGCTGACATCATTTGTCTACTTGGAAATGGGTTAATGCTAAGCAACTTACCAGTCTGTGATGGTGTCTGCATCACCATAGCCTTTTGACCTACAGGTGTTGAAGTATTACCCACAACTGGTGTAGCACTGGGCGTCTGACTACCAGCTGGTGTCTCATCCCAACGAGATCGCCGCTTACTACCTGGAGTAGGAGTCTCTGAAGGAGCATCTCCCCCACGATCAGTGCGAGGAGTCTCCGCCCATCCACTTCCATGCCCAGGAGTTTCTAATTAAATTTGATACAGTGGAAGTCATTCAGAGATTTCTGAATTCAAAATTTAATTGGAAACAAATATAGCAAAGGAAAACTGTTACCATTGATGAGATAACAGGCTACTTGTTATCACTGGTAAAATCCATCAAAAGACGTTTAATCACTTCCTCTCAAAACATACCACAGCAATCAGGAGTGTGGTTTCAATTCCAGATTTTCCTCAAAACCTATTGCTCTTTGTTTTTTATTTCATGCACCCATTCCAATAGGCACTCCTCAAAGAAAACAGTTAAACAATCAGAAGTTTGTTTTCAACTGAACTTACCTCTCTCAGTTCTAGGTGTTTCGTCCCATCTATTTCTACGTGCGCTTGGTGTTGCACTATGTCCTGGAGTAACATGTCCTGGAGTAGCATGTCCAGGGGTAGCATGACTAGGTGTCACATGACCAGGTGTCAGGTGTGCTGGTGTGTTTTCCCAAACTCGTGTACTAGCACTGGGTGTAGCTCCTGGTGTCTCGCTACCTTTGGCTCTGCCTGGTGTTTCATCCCAGCGACTGATTGACGGAGTTGAAGCTTGTTGCTACATAGGTAGATGTAACAACTTATTTAGTATGGTCATTGTAACAAAAATACAAAACCCCAAAAGGTCAGCAGACCAATTGAAGCTTCTTTCCACAGATAAATTCTCAACAACCAGGTTTCGATTCAGGAGACATTATATCAACATCAACTTACCTCTGCCTGTTCCCAACTACTTGTCTTCTTTTTGGGTGTGGCTCCTGGTGTTTCTTCTCCTACTTGATCCCAGCGACGACGTTTGACAGGTTTAGATGTCGGTTTAGTCTGCTGTACCTCAAGCTCACCCTTTTTGGCCTTTTCCTGCATCTGAAGACGAAGCCCAGCCTAGAAAACAGAGTAAATATCCTCACTTGTACATTACATGAACTCCCTCACTGACAGCAATGACAGAACCTTCAGCATCATATAGAGTGCAAATTTGTAACATAAAATGCATACTTATTTTAAGTGGTACAAACTGATACCTGCTCTTTTGTCATGGACTGTTCTCTTCGGATGTCAATGTAAGTCCTCTCCCCAGGATCAGGTGTTTTGCCACCTGCATGATAAGATGCGAATAGTCACACAGAGAGAAAGAAATAGAGAAAAGATGAGAAATACTGACACATTACACATGGAGTGTCTAAGGCTTCCCTTAATGCTGATGATTTGCTACAAGCTGAGGGAAAGGTTTATAAATTTCCTTGTGCATTTGTTTTTATTTTGATTGTACCTCCCACTGTATGTGAAAAATTATTTTGCAGAATTCAATTGTGTCAAGGTTAGTGACTTGTCTTCATCATTTGCATTGTGCCTTAGTAAAGAGCAAGGTGGTAACACACAAAAAAAGTACCAACCTCATTGGAAGATAAAGGTTCTACATGTAAGTGCTGAAGTTTTAAAGCATAATGAAAAATTTTACAAATGATGTGACTGTTTGCCCTGATTGGTGAAACTATCAGAAACTGTATGGAAATGGAGCAAGAGCTATATTTCCTTACTTTTCTGCCATACAGTCAAGAAAATCATGGCAAGATCAGTCTTCTTTTCATACTTGAGCAATTCTAAATGGATGTACCTTGACCAACAATGTTGTGCATATTTGGTGTTTGTAATTACACATATAACGACACTGTGCACTCCTATGATATTTGTGTAATTGCTTTTTATTCATAGAAATTTCTTCCCTTAAGAATTATAGCACTGTTGTTCCCCATAAAAAGGTCAGCTTGATAACATACATCAGCATTTGGGAATATTTTTCAAGTTATGAGGTTCTGTCTGTTTTTTTCCATGGCTCTAAAGAATCTTTTGGGAAAATTCAAAGGAGCCAGGACAGCAGATCCAATATTGACGTGTAGTCAATCTCTCAACACCTGTAAAAACTAAACAGAAACATTATCAAATGCAATGGTAAATATTCTTCCATTTAAATTTCCCTATGTTACTTTTTCTAAAAACTAAACATCTCCATGTATAAGTTCATTTAAGTTCCCTTAATGTTACAAAATCTAGTCACAATTTAAATTATCAACATTGGTACCAATGAATCAGGTTGATGACATGCAGAATATTTCAACTATGTTTACTTTTATAGCTAAATCAAATCACGTAAGGAAATTAGTTTCTCCTGTAAACAGTCTTCATTGAAAAGAGTACAAAAAAGTACAAAAATAGTCATGCATTTTAATGCGGCTCAATATTTTAGAAGCTTTGTACCAAGACACCTATTCTGCATTTTTATCTTAAAAAGTAGATCAAGCTGAGCCAAAGTTTTAGGCAAAGTAATCAAAGTTGAAATATTCTACATCAGAGTAAATATAGAATTAACATCATTCATTTTGGACTTTTTTTTTTACAAAACTAGGGGTGATATATATTATTAATCAGGGAGTTGTTGATATACTCCCTGTACTCATACCCAAAATACGTACGGTTCAGCCTCCACTGGTTGTACGCTTGATGCTAACCATGGAATTCACGTCACTCGATGACTTCCTAAAAGTCAATCTTTTCAAGTATTCATATTATTAAGCAGGGCCGTAGTAGAGAACTTATAGGGATTTTTTTTATTGTCTTAACACACAAACACTAAACATATGTTATGTTTTTACAACAAAACTTCTAAATTACATATCCTTACAACACATACTGGTACATATCCCAAGACGGTTGATTTTCATTTATAATTCCTGTATGTTGCAGGTTAAAAAAACATTTTAATGACTATCAGAAGTCCAAGTCAACATTCATAACTTTCTTCCAAGCACTAAAAAATCAAACGCAGGACAAGGAACATACATTTCCCTGGTTATATTTTCAGGACTTCCCCAAGCTTTACATATTTATATCCAAATGGAATGCAGCCCTTTGCATCTAACTTCAGTCACACCAGATCACACTAGCTTGTGCCAATCAGAATGCACAGCATCTGTACAACTATAACAATCACATACAAATGACAAGACTCAGTCAAAGTCATCATGAAGCCAAAATAGAATATGTTGGATCAGATACAAAAAAATTGCTTTCCATTTAGAAATGTTAACAAGCCTGCTCCAAAACAAATCCAATAGATCAACTAATCACAAAATGTATCATTTTAAATGGATCTCTGAGAACTACATGTACTACTTACAAACCAGAACACAAAGTTCACAATTCAACGCAAGTCTTGGGCTTTTAAAAAAACACTAATTAGTTAGATTTGATGTCTTACCATCAGCAAAAGGATCATGTCTCGCTGGAGAGATAATCATCATCCTTCTACGGGCGCGATATTCATCTTCACGTTCAGCAATCCTAGCTGCATTGTTACCAGCAAATGGGTCGTAATCCTTTCATGTAATAAAGAAATGGTGATTAAAAGGTTTTGTCAATTATTTAGAATGTGTGGTCTCTGGTCGACAGAAAAAAATACAAAATTTTAAGAAAAAAGCAAATGATTAACAAACTCAGAGTTCATGCATTTTAGATAAGACTTGATGCTTTGCATGACGGAGACAGACTAAAGAGCAGGCTTGCAGTAACACCATGTGGATAGATTTCTTTTGGAAGAGGCATGGTTCTGATAAGAACGGTTGAGTGTGTACTCGGCATTTCAACCAGTGTGCTCTGGTCATCCTCAAGAGTGGAGTGCCAGACTTCTGGTGAGCGCTGGTATATAAGTGCTGTGTTGGGATTAGCTTGGATGCCTGGAGCACTGAGGCATGAGACCGATGCTTGGCTGTGAGGTTGGTGATGAGTGGTGGACGATTCTCATGGTGTTACCCCAAGCCCTCTCTTGAGTTCATTCATTTTGTTCCACCAAAAACATGCGATGCTGGTCAGCCAAAAAAAAAACCCACAAATGCGGCATTGTGCCCAATCCCTTCCCAGATCTTTGGAAATCTGCCCCGCACTAGGAACCTTACGACACATCCTCAACACTTCAAGAAACATCTAGTCCAATTCAAATACTAATGACCAATTCCTGCCTGCCTGCCTAATCTTTCAGATTCCATAAAAAAATCCCAAAGTTGGAAACGTCTGTGTGGCTTCAGTTGAAAAGTATCCTATCATCCTTGACAATGGATTTACATAAAATTTATAAATTACAGGAGATATTTTACAAAAGAGACAATTACTGTACTCACCTTGGCTGCTTCCTGAGCTTCACTAAACAACGATGTTGGGGCTGTAATGCTGTTCTTATTCATCAAGGAATGACTGGTGTAATCATCTTCATCCTGTAAAACATTAATCAAAAATGAAATTAACAACGCCAGAACAAAAATGTGTAAAAAATTAATGAAAATTAAATAAAAACACACACTGCTTATAAATGTATTTCTTTGCTATAATGCTGGTATTTGGTTTACTTGATGCTTGTGGATTGCACCCAGTGCCAATGTGTCAGATTTCTGCTCACAGTGAAAAGAAGTATCCGAGAAAAAAAGTAAAAGCAAAACAACACAAATACCCAAACAACACCCTGACTGCTATTTGATTGGGAGAATAACAGATTTATATCATGTATGTCATTAGCCCTAGTCAAAAAATGATTTTTGTAAAAAGAAATGAAATCTCATTTCCGAAATTCTGCAAAATAAATTTTTCCCTTACACAAAACCAGTATGTAATGCCAAAAGAGACAGGCAATTTGGATCATATAATGGTAACTACAATCACTGTGCCAATACCTCATCTGCTTCATTGGCTGCGATGGAATAGTCATAGCCCTCAAATCGGCTACGGACACTTTTATCATAGATTTCTCTGTCAAAATGTCCTGATTCAGCAAATCCTGCAGCATCATCTTTCCCATTGGTTGCAGGTACTTCATCACGTTGACGAAGTGTTGCAGTACGCTGCTGTATCTCTTGAATTTGTCGCTCAATATCTGTGAGTACGAACAGGAAAAATGCTAGACATGTGCTAACTTTTGAAAGTTTTCTTTTATAACACTGTTAATGTTAAGGTTTGCATTCAAGGCTTTCTTCCCTTGCCGAGAAACTTCATAAACCAGCATATTTCCCAATTGTCATAGCAATAGAAGCCATCCATCATGTCCATGGACAGGCTGCAGCTGCGAAAATGTCCACTTCTGCAGTCAGCCATATCATTGTCAACAGTTGGTTTATCAATGAGTGGACAAAGAGTAAAAGAGTACAGCAAATTCAGTAGCTCGAGTGTTTGTGAGTTTCAAATTTCAGCAGAACTATATTAAAATCCCCAAGCAAATAACATGTTTTGTTTTCTGAAGATATTTTCTCAAGAATTATTTCCATTTCATCTATAAAATTTGAAACACTTTGACAAGTTGGCCTATAGATTAAACCTATTATGAAGTCTTTTTGTGTGTAGTTTTTGATTTCCATAAAATGCGACTCAAAACTATTTTCAGAGCCAGATACATCGGATCTCAGTGTAATAGAGGGAATCCTTAATGTACAACATAACACTACCCCATCCCATCCCCGGGTTTGTTCGTGATTGAAACTTGAGTAGCACAGGACCAATTTGCATACAGCGAAATGGGTGTTAGTTCCCTTAGTCTTACTCCCTTGTTCTTGTTGATACAGAATCAGGTCAACTCGTACCCAGGTCAACTTGTACCTCCAAACTTCCACCCAAGTCAACTCATACCCAGGTCATCTCGTACCCACGTCAACTTGTACCCAGGACCACTCATACCCAGGACAACTCGTACTCCGTACATTAGAATAGCGCTGCAGCCGAACCGCAAAACAAAACCAAAAATCGTCGAACATTAATTGCCCTTTCGAACCGAACCGAACTGGTCAGTTTGGATGTTCGGTTTAATAATATTGGTAGCGCGCGGAATGCATGCAAAAAAACGTGATAAAAAAAGCAAACACAACGAAAAATGGATAACGAGTTGTGCCGCTCCGGTGCTCGGTACTTGTGCTATAACTTACGATGGCGCTGCATCACGCGATGGTTGTAAAAAGCATGTGTTGAGATTTCACTAACAATCAACTGACAACACGCAACATACGGCATTTTCGCTTCTTAATTCTCACTACACCCAATTATGCTTATGTATATTCAAACTTAGCATTACGTTTGCCAATTTCCAGCAGCCACGCCCTTACATTCCATATTTAGTCTTTGCAAGAAAAGCAGCCATTGGTAGGATTATCCACTGATGACAATAATACATCCAAGAGTACGAATTGACTCGGGTATGAATTGACTCAGGCACAAGTTGACTGGGATACGAGTTGACTGGGATACAAGTTGACTGGGGTACGAGTTGACCTGGGTATGAGTTGTCCCAGGTACAAGATGACCCAGATCCATTGATTTTTCTTTTACTTTTCTAGGAGAAAACTTCACACAAAGAACACTATGGAGCCGGGAGTATAGTGATATTGTCCAAAGTGTTTTAACTACTGGCTCATGTTAATTAAAATCATAAATCAAGTAAAGTGCATTTTTTATTACTGGGTACGAATTGTCCCGGGTATGAAGTGTCTCGGGTACGACTATAACATGTCCGGATACCATAAGCCTTATTGCAAATACTGAGTGGTTGAGTTTGCACAATGCCTTTTTACCATTCTGCAAAATCACCCATGCAGTATTTGCGATAAGGCTTATGTTGTAAACATGGTGCATGTCTAGCTCAGGTTGGACGACGTCTTCATTGCATTGTGCCTAACGTCCGGGGTATGAAATTCCTCCTAATATGCAAAATTTTTTTCAACAGTTTTTTCTCACATATTTACCTGACGAAGACAGCTCAAAATGTTGTTCCCAAGTGTCTTGTATCCTGAATTCCATTAATGGTATGTTGAAATTACTAAATACGGCCGCAAACAATGTATTTTGCAGGAAATTCTGCGAAACTCTACACTTTTCGTTGCGATTCGCGATCTACATGTACATACAAGTTCACCTAGCACGGGTACTTGCACTAGCGTGACATGCATGGTAACCAAGTGCCCCCTACACATGCGCGGACGAGCTGTGGGTGTGATGAAGTTGCAGATCTGAATGGGCCTCCAAAGATACGGCTAAATCTATTGTCTGCGCCTCTCCACATATTTGTAATGGAGCGATGACCTAGACCTAGCTCTAGACAACATGCATAACTGACAGAATTGGGGTGCAGGCCGAGCTTGGAGGCCATTTCACGCATGCACAAATGCATACCACACGAACGTAGGTTGTTAACTAATCGCAATGGAAAGTGTGGAGTTTTGCAGAATTTCCTGCAAAATACGTTGTTCGCGGTCTAGACCCGTAAACAGGGCCCAAAGAATACTCCTCCGTAGTATACTAGGCCCTGTTCTGATTAATAGGGATTTCTTTCGAAAACTTTATCCGGGACATCCGGGGGCATAACTTAACATCCACTTAATTTTATGAGCTGAAATTGCACCGGTATGTTCACCAGTTATCCTGTAAAAAATCCACTAGGTTACTATTTGTAGAAGACTCGCCTTTTCCTCATTTGGAGGAAAAAACTGTTGCCTCTTTTGCCGTTTTCCCACTCCGGACGAAGTTTGCCCCACTTGAGAATGTGAGAAAAAACTGTTGAAAAAAATTTCGCATAGTACTAGTACTTAGTAGGAGGACTTCTATACCCTGGACGTTAGTCCCAATACAATCGTCCAACCGGTTAACCTGGGCTAGGGCTAGTGCATATCGTGTCCAGCACGTAACAATGTGCCACTGCCAGGTTTTTGTCCCTTATTTTGAGTACATTTTCAGCAATAAATCGTTATGAATGTTCTATACAGACTCCACATTTCGATGTACAACTATATGTACATAATGTTCATGATTTCTACTAAAATTAGGATAAAAACAGGCGACTTCACTCACTTTCCCGAGATTGGATGGCAGCCATGTTGACGAAATATGGCGAATTAATTAGAAACGTTACACACGTCGTAGGCGTCTCGCAGGCTAAACGCGTTATTATGTTTTTCGTTGTTCTTCATTGGTACCTTGCATTTCATGGCGAAAAGACGATACTCGTGAGGACTACCTGTAACCTATTTAACAGGCAATAAATTGGATAATTGAGAGTTTTGAATTTTTAAACGATACATATAGAACAAATTTTCAAATTTTCAACTTGTATCCAAATCTTATTTCCCTGTTTCATAGACTTTCAGGATAATTTACCCCCAACCTCCTTAAGGATATCGTTGAGAGGTTAAGTATCATGTGCCATTTGCAACAATTCTTGTTGTCAGCATTTTTCTTACGCTGCGTAGAAGGTCCGATCCTTATACTTGTTGGCTCCGACCGAGGAAAACAGTTAATACACCAGAACCTGTCTCGAATTTCTTACCAAGAAATAGAATTATAATCAAAAAGTTTGAGAGGGAAGCGATTATTTTTTATTCACGTTTTCCCCCGACTGCCGGACCGACCTCGCTAAAATTTATCTTTAAAAAAAATGTGAGACGCCCTGATGACCACGTGGTTCAAGTGTTTGCAGGTTTCCTCATGTATGATATTTTGTTGCATTTCTTAATGTGTCTGCTTGATACAGCTATGAACATGTACTGTGCAACCGTGGAACACAACTGACCAGGCAACACTGGCAGCAACCGTGGCAAGTGACGGTTTAGATAGCTGTTATGTTATGCCCCCCCCCCAAAAAAAACACCCCAATATATGGAACTTTTTTCAGCTGTACCATTTTATTGTACTATGTTCATGTAATGGACTACGGAGGAATAAAGACAGAATAACTTCTTCGGTATTTGTTGTAATCATAAAAAGAGAATGAACGGTCAAGTTTCCTCGATCCTTCCATGGAGGTTCTCAGTACCTCCGGGATCCTTCTAAATCTTTGAGCTTAAGATTTCCAAAACAGTAGACGATATGAGGCGCGCAAAAAGATGTGCTCTAGCTGGTACTTCACGAGGCGAAAAAAAACGCAAAAACACAACATGCGAGCGGACTGACACCAGTGAAAAAGTGACAGTGAGCTGAAGGGAATAGCTTTGTTGTACATGATCATGTGATACAGTAGACATGTGACTCAACTGTCTCGAGTGAGTATACTGTGGATGTACTGCAGCCAGCTACAGAGCTAGGGTGTGTGCGTTGATCATGCGAAATTGTGCCTAATTTAAGTCGCTCATCCTTGCTCTGTGGTCAAAAAAATGGAGTTACAGTTTCTTTCCCTTGTAACATTGGTCTTACTGCTTGTAATGCAATGTGAAGAGGTACTTACAGCTACGTGTAAAAAGGTGGATTCTTGCACGTGCAAGTTTGACGATGGATCCGGTGTAATTTCGTTGAAAACACTCGCAAATCCGGCAGGTGGCCAACCAAGGTACATACATCATGTACATAGGCCAGTACTTAGGCCTACATACACACGCACAATTGACAATTACATTTCATCTCACAATGTATAATTGGTTTTCTCATTAAGTAGCGAAATAAGGGACCTGGCGACTACACCGTCCATGCCGTCACAGATATGACTTTGGGCGCATGGTTGAGGATATTGCATGAGTGCATAGTAGTTACTTAAGTTATAACTAGACGTAGGGGGCCTAAGTAAGTGTCTGGTGTCGTGATCAGGTGATAAGCGTTTATATTTAGGCCTAGTTTGCTGTGTGTGACAAGCCAAGTCCTATTTCAATGTTGGACCATCATGGCTACTGTGTTGGACCATCACAATTTTCAGTAGCCACAAACAAACAATGCAAATACTGCATGGGTGATTTTGCACAATGGTAGGAGGGCATTGTGCGAAGGAAAAAAGGAGCAAACATTGAACCTTTTGCCTTCCCACCATACTCACTATTCTTGTCTGGTTCCCTGCCCAAAGATTCCCTGACGACTCTTAATAAGAAATCTTAGGTCACCTGGTACGTGTATCACCCATGGATATAAATAGATGACTAAATGACGCAATGGTTGGGGTCACAAGTTGAGAGGAATCAGGTCAACTCGTACCCCCAAACTCCCACCCAAGTCAACTCGTACCGAGGTCATCTCGTACCCACGTCAACTTGTACCCAGGACAACTCGTACTCCCTACTTTAGAATAGTGCTGCAGCTGAACCACCAAACCGAACCAAAAATTGTTGAACATTGCACTTTCGAACCGAACCAAACTGGTCGGTTCGGATGTTCAGTTTTAATATGGCATAGCAAGAAAACGTGATAAAAAAGCAAACACCACAAAAAAATGGATAACGAGTTGTGCCGCATTGGTGCTGCTCCAGTGCTCAGCACATGTGCTGTAAATTAACTGTACAGTACAGTACTGTACATACATATACAGTAAACTTACGATGGCCCTGCATCATGTGATGGTTGTAAAACCACATGGTGGGATTTCACTAATAATCAACGGAGAACAAGCAACGTACGCCATTTCCACTGCAAAACAATTCTAAATTCTCACTACATCCACTTTTGCTTATATTCAAATTTAGTGTTATGTTTGCCAATCTCCGGTATGATGTCATAAATGGCCGTGCAAAAATTTGGATTGGATATTGATCAGAGTAGGACTCGTGCTCGATCAAAGGCAACTCCGTAGGGGAAAACTGATTTTGCCAGGCGGTTTGCTCCGGTGCAGTGCTCCAGCATGCAACAAGATTTGGTTCGCGCAGTGGCCCAACTTACAAGGATTTTTTTAAGTGAAGGAGAGGATTGTATAATGTAATTTATCAATTAAAATTAATTAAAAAGTTGATTTTTTGCAAGCAAAGCAGCCATTGGTAGGATTATCCACTGATGACACAAGTTGACTGGGGTACGAGTTTACTGGGGTACGAGTTGACTGGGGTACGAGTTGACTGGGGTACGAGTTGACTGGGATACGATGACTGGGGTACGAGTTTACTGGGGTACGAGATGACTGGGGTACGAGTTGACGGGGGTACGAGTTGACCTGTGTACAAGTTGTCCCGGGTACGAGATGACCCAGATTCAGTTGAGAGCCCGGGTGTTTTTCATTTCATTATAGTGGTGCACCCTGTATGTGTGGGCATTTGCCAGTCGTCAGGTACTGATTCTTCCTAGATTCTCTTCGACTAGAAGTTCTGGGAAGTTTACAAAGGAGACCTTTGATTTCAGTGTAAAGTCAAATATTGTAGGATCAACAGCTGCTTAGGATACGGGAGTTCACGTTCAACAGCTAGCCTACCTACCCGGCTGGGAACTACCTACGTACCTAATGCTCATGATGTTGGGAAATTTGCATATTTTCAATGCCATTAGCCTATAATGTTAGGGCTCAAGTTAAATAAAAGTGGAATCAAAGAGTTTGATTTAGCTGTGGAAAGAGTTCCACATACGAACGGCAGTAATTATTCCCTCCAGTCATGCCAGTAACTTAACAGCCATCAGAAAGCAAAAACATGTCCAGAAAAGTTCAACTTAGGAGGGAAAGTACAGAGTCATTTACTTAGAAAATACTTGAAACTTTTCAGACTTTCTCACAGGGTTTATGCACAGGGTGTAAGTGGCGTCTCCATATAGAACTCTTTCCTCAGCTGATGTTGCAATGATGGTGAGCTTTCTCAAATAAATCGTAACGTGCGAAATGGTAATGAATAGCATTTATTTAACCATGTGAACATTTTCAAACAGGTTTAACTTCACTCAGGCCACGAGGGATAGTTACTTTTATGCATATAATCCCTGCAATAGTTTCAAGTGGAATGCACCTTGTGGAGATGTGGCAGTAAGTTCATTTAAATAGCTTTTAATCCATTGTCTTTTCAGTGTAATCTTTGCAGACACATTTTTCATGGACATACCTGTACTTACATGTATATTCTCACATTTTTTGAGCTGTCTTGCAGAGAGAGACTTCACAGGAACAGAAAACAGCAAGGTTTTCAGTTGGTTTTATGAGGGGGGTTTATGGATTGTTCAAGAAAATTTGTTTATTTTATTGAGCCAACTTTTAAAAAGTGAAAAAAACTTGCACAGATTATAACCATTTTTATAGCTTTTGTTGTGAAAATATCTAGTACATTGTACATGTACTCCTATTGTATCACCACCAACATGCTCATTATTCTCCAGTGTATTTTCTTATGCTACGTGCAATTGTTTTTTGCTTCACAGGTTTGCCAAATGAGCTCAGATGGAAAGGAAATTTTTGACGCGGGTAATCAGCCTACAGCTTCATTTGATGCTGAAGGAACAACCATTACATACACAGCATCAGCAAGGTTTTGTTTTTATTGTCTTACATGGTACACATGCCATTTACAGTGGAATGCTGCTCTAATGAACATTGCTGTGCATAACAGTTAGAAATACCAAACATCTCCCCTGGCTTCTGAAGTTTCTTTGTACTTTCACCGAACATGACAGCTTTGTTTTAAAAAAAAAAAAACATTTAGAGCTGCTGACAATAACTCAAAATTAGGGAAACTGGTACTCAAGATGGAACAACAGTCTTAAAGTGACATTGTTGTAATGCAGTGCATTCTGATGTACATTATATATTCACAGAACCACCACTGTCAATTTGATCTGTAGTCCGTCAGCAACAACCCCAGTCTATGAACCTCAAGGAGAAGGTGCTGTACAAGAAAAATACGTAAGTTAATTGAAATACCTTCATGTTTACGAGTGAGGGATGAAGGCTTAGTTTGCTTAATAAAGGGTTCGAGGTTTTTTAGTGTCCACAAAGTTAAATTAATGTACATAAACTTGAGATCATTGATTCCCATTTTATTGTGATCATAGCAACCTCCTCTTGGCTGTCATATCTTGTCGAACAGACTCTTTGAGTGAAAAAATGCACCAGTTGGGTAATACCAATAAAAATATGTATGTATTCATAGTTGCGTTGTTTTCCACAGTTGGAATGAGCTGTATTACTCATTGGACTTCATTCTCCAAATGTACCCATACCCATAATTTGCCCATATTCCCCAATTCCTTCGGTCTTCTGGGTTGTTGCTTGTTAATGTTTGTGTGTGCTCTAATAATTTTTTTCAGTCTCAATGTGACGAATATCAACCAGTTAATTTCAATTTTAACTTGTTAACAGGCCATCAATCTGACGTCCAACTGTGCCTGCAAGAATGGTTGCTTACCCGGAGGCCTCAGCCCTGGTTCAGCTCTATGTATCATGTGAGTATCACAATAGGTACAAACATGTACCTGCACCAAACTGTGAAATCACTGAAACTATTCAGATTAATAAGAAACATCCTAATGATCTAAATGTCAAATGATACAACATTGAACTTGAAAACTGAATCACACTGTGAATGACTGGATAGAGTATTCAGTTTTGATTTTTTTTTAAACTATTGATTCTTGCTTTGTCTAGATTCAGCGTATTGGTCATACTGTATTTGGTTGTTGGAGTTCTGTTCCTCAAATTTGTGCGAGGAGCTGAAGGGAAAGAGCTCATTCCAAACTATGAATTTTGGAAAGAATTACCCCTTCTGATCAAGGTGAGAGTTTTGTTTTTCTTGTACATGAGTCGTTCTATAAATTCAGGGTGCAAAAGTGTGACTTTGTTGTGTCCCTGTTACACCTGACCTGTGTAATTTGATGTTAAAATATCACTGAAATTGATTTCAAACTATTTTTTTCTATTTGTTTGGCTGGTAATTTGCATTAGATTCATCACTCTTGGAAACTAGACAATGTGTTCTGAACTTACAAAATCATATGTCAGATATGATAGGAACACAGAAAAATGGATCCCTAATTTATAGAATGACCCACATGTATATCACAGAGTTACAGTCCTACTGTAATCTTCAGCAACAGTCTTCCCCTGGTATGACAAACCGTGCCTGCACCTGCTAAGCATGCACAACTAACTTTACACTTCAGTTGACAGCGTGTACCAATTTAGTGCTGTTAAGAAGTCTTACATTAATGGCAAGTGTTTCAGTTTGGTAATGGCTGGACCTTACTTGTTTATTAGTAATGATTGATGTCTTTTGCTCTTTAGGATGGAGTGTTGTTTGTGGTTCATGGATGCAAAAGCGATTCCAACAATTATGAAACGATTTAAACTGTAAGTCACTTTAAAATTGGTGAGATTGAGCTACTGGGCAGTATAGTGACATCGCTTAACTTAAAAATAAATCACATGAAATAGTTGTTCAGCCTGTTGCATGTTCATAATTTTACAAAACTTCATAATACTGTTCCATTCAAATGAGAGTATTCCATTTCATTTACAATTTTACTTCAAATATTTCCTCATCCGATTATTTACATGCCTGCCATAAACTAACTCAACTTGATGTTCACTTGATTTCCATCAAATATTGAAGGTAACATTGCAACATCTGTTTTTGTTATTTACAACAGAGTCTGACTCTAAACAGAACAGCAATATTTTCACCCAAACTGAGGCACCACAGACAGCTGTTCCTTTTCTGCGTGTAAGTTGTAACTGACTTGATGTTAAAGCTTTGACAAGTATTTGTTTATTTCAGTACCTGACTGATAAATCCAGTTGTTTTCTTTTCCGTTAACACTACAGCAAACCAAACTAGAAATGCATAGAATTCCGAATTGTGCTTAAAAAAACAAGAGTTTTGAGTTGACAAGATCGACTTTAATAACCAGTGAGTATAAATCTATTGTTAAAATGCATTCCTGCCAGAGTTTGTGGTTAGTTATTCTTTTGACTTTCTTAACTGCCTTGAGATTTGAATGCACTATTATGAAGTGTATTTCTGCCATTGGCTTGCTGTTTCGCTGATACTACATACACAATGGTGAGTGCATACAGCCACATGTAAGTGTACAAAGTTCTGAATGAATTAATTACTTGCATACTGGCACTTGAACTTAGGGTGTCTTTATTGTGGCTCAGTAGTTGAACAAAATTTACATAAACATACCAAATTTGTATTTGTGGTCAGAAAGGTTATAACAGACCACACTACACATGGAACCATCTGGGATGTACTTATGAATGGAGATACAGGGCGTCACGCCAGTTTTCTGTTTAGTATGTATAGATAGTAATGATTTCCTGATAATATTTCCTGATAACATTCTTCTGTTCAGTTGTAAACATAGCACGTTAGATGTGTGTAAATGATTAATTACCAGCCTATAGTATATTTGTAGAGGAACTGGAGCAATGTACACACAAACTCTGAGTGGAAACCTTTTATAGTAAATAGATGGCAGCTCTGTAAGCACTAAAGTTTGTGTTATTACATTCAATTGTGAAATATATTTTAGTATCTGCAATTTTAATACTTAGTCTAGTCTAGATCAACTTGCTGTGGCCTGGAGTTAGCCATATCCATTCAAAGCTGTTACAGCTGGGTAATTCCAGAAATTGGGGGTCCGAAAGTGTGACATTTTCATGTACCTGTTCCATCTGACCTTTGTCATTTGGCATAGAAATATCACCGGAATTGTTTTCAAACTATTACTATTTGTTTGGCAGGTAATTTGCATGAATTTATCACTCTTGGAAATTAGAAAATGTGTTCTGAACTTACGAAATCATATGTCAGATGTAACAGGGACAAGAAAAAAATGGAATTTCTGGAATTACCCCACTGATATCCAACAGCTTCGGTAACCACAGTCTCACTGCAAGCCACAGCCATAATGGTTTTACAGTGTGCTGGCTACAAGGCCACCAATGAGGAAGTGTTAGACTGGGGTGATACAAGTTTATTATAATAAACCTATTTTTTATTGAAGGTAGTTCCATAGGAAGGAACTTTATTGAAAGCACTAACAGTATAAGTAAAGAAAAAAAATAAGGTACCTGTCAAGTTCTGAATGTTTTCAAGTAGCTTTCCTTAGAAGTGGCTTCTAAACCACAGATTTTGTAGTAATGATACTGATGGTTTTCAGCCATTACTTGTTGAGCAACTGTAATATTTTCTGCTATTTATGTATTTTCCTGAAAGTTCTATTTATCCTAATTTTCCCAATTAATACGCTTTTGATATTTGCTTCAAAACAAATCTTTTCTTTCGTATTTGTTTCTTGTCAGGGTTTCGTTTTTGAAAAATGTAGAAATATGTTTGCGTTCACAGGCTTTAGTTTTAAGATACCGTTTAAGTCTTAGAGTATATGTGAATGATGCCCAGCTGTAAAGATAGCCTGTGTTTTATTTTGGATAAATATTTACAAACGTTTACCAAAACTGAGGGTAAGAGAAAATGTATTATAACTGTAGCTCTTGCTTAAATGTTCCAAGGAGTCGTATATATTTTCTATTAACAGTATTAATCTGGATTTTGTGTGTTGCCTAAGGATTATATTGGAAAATATTGAGGCAACTTGTACAAAGCCAACAGGTGTCATTGACATTGAGACAAGACATTAATAATTGAAAAATATTCAGCAACTACAATGATAAGGTTGCTGTTCTGTCAAGGAACTTTTCTCATTGGTAGTCTTTATTGAATTGCCTTTTTTTCAATAGTTTAAATGAAATAAATTTGCTGTTTTTATTCAAAGTTATTTTATGGGGAAAATACTCATGTAGAGCTCAACATTCCTTTCTGATATTTGTATTTATTGGCAAGAGTTTCTGGCATGAAATGTGGTGTAGGTATGGCTGTTATTCTTGTCTGGGATAGTTGCATGATTTTAATTTTGGCGGTATGTCTAAAATCAATTTTAAAATGATACACTGAAAGTGCTAAAAGAAGCACCGTCCGGACTGTTGCAGGTAATTTTCCATTTTCTTGAATAAGTTTGTAGTTTTTGTATTACTGAAATGGAATCGTACTCTGAAGATAAACGGTCATCCTCTCTGGTCTGTTTTATAGGGTAAACCAGGTAGGCCTATTAGCCATTTCGGAATTACCACATTGCATGCCCAAAATGAAGCGCGTCCGTGGTCATTCATCATAGTATCATCAGCGGAGCCCACGCAAACTTGCGCGCGTGCTGTGTTTTTAACCGAATGACCTTGTTTTACCGAACTTGCTCATTAGATTTTATAATCCACCCAGTTCGTAAGTACATGTAACTTGGCACGTGCGAGCACCTCACCTCAGAATTCAAGCTCTCAGTGGAAGGACCACTCGGTATAGTTTGGGTTGCTCGTTCGTGACGCAGGTTTCTTGTTCTCGCACTCGAAAGGCGGGAACATACGGAAGCGTGTACGGGCCACTTGCAAATTTTTTTCGAGATACTATCTCACCATGGCAAGTTACCATCTCGCCTTGGCGACTTACTATCTCGCCGCGGCGAATTATTATCTTGCTGCAGCGAGTTAGCTAAAACTAGCTCAACTCGCTGCGTATTAAGACTCAGTCTAGATACCAGACTGGTATTCCGACTTCGTTTCTAATCAAGGGTCCTGTATCACCCAGTGCCCTTATACGCCTCCGTAGGAACAAGAGCACTTTTCTCGGAATTGCTCAGACACCACCTCGTCAGGGTTTTACACGAACACACACGGAAAAATGCAGCTTGAATTGTGAACAGCCGCAGAAATAATTGCGATGGCCGAAAAAGCTGGTGGAAAACGTTTGTAAAATTAACATAATTTTCCATAGGTCAGAAATGAAAAGAACAACTATCGACAGAGTAAGCACGCACGAACCAAGCGTCTTTGTGGTTCAAATTGAAATGTTATATTTACGGACCGGATAGGCCAGTGTTTTGTGATGTAAGATCTTTTGGAACCTAGACCATAACACTGAGTAAACGCGATAAGTGTGAATAATACATCTTGAATTGTAATTTTCTACATTATGCTGTTCATAAAGAGTACTGACAATAAGCATGTCACTGTGCGTGGCCTCTTTCTTGGAATGACCACTCACTTGTTGAAAATAAACAGAACCTTAAATTAAATCAAATAAATGTGTCACTTGAACTCCGTAGCTTCTGTCACTTTTATTAACGTTGCTCCATCAGATTGTTGGATAAAGCATTATGTATTTGTCCAAATTTGCACAACATATCGTTAGTCATTTGGTTCAGGAATGGATTATTGGAAAGGTGAAAAATGAATTTTAATTCAAACATGGTACAATAATAATCTAGCAATTTGTCTTCCAGTTGGAGGAGAATGTGCTGAGATTTTCACACCAAAGGTTTGTTCATAAGCCGTCCCATGAGTCGATATTTCTTCCCAAACCAAGTATCCTGATAAGGAAAATTAATGTACAATGATTCTGAGCAACATGAGATTGATAGGTTTTTCGTCACATTCCTAATACGTCTGAGAACCCATCCACAATGATAAACCCTGCGTCGATTTCGGATAGAGCGACCCCATTCGATCAGTGCTAATGAAACAAACCACATCCTAAACTCGGACTTCAGCAATGTGGAGTTCAACCCCTATTTTTAAGTTAATCCTGCAAAGTCACTTCAGTGTAAACCGAATGACAACCCATACACATGAATCGCACTGGATGCCTGTGAGAACATTTACCCCGTTGATAAGGCTTATTGTGACCCCGTTACGTACAGTTCGGCGCAAGTCACTCAGTTTTTGAAGGCAATTCAGCTATATTAACATGTTCAGTTGGTTTGTCGTTCCCTTTGTTTCTCTCTCACTTCTGAAACTACACCATGCTTTGCCAGAGTGTAAGCAGCTAGACGAATGTTCGTGTATGTTATCGGATGGTAAACAAATCAACATTTGGTCGCTGGGAACTAAAGGCAGGCCAAGGTTTGACAAAGTGATACACCATTTTGAATTGTTATTTACTTGCCTGTACTTTGCTCCCCTCAGGCCTCTTCAGAGCAGTTGTTTGAGTTTCTGTCTCTTCTACAAACGGTTTTTATGTTTTCTGGTTTATTTTTTAATTAAATAAAGCTATTTATTCGAATAAATCTACATCTGTGTTACTGCCTTCCAGGGCTACTGAGTAAGACCGTATTCGGACACATTTTCAATATCAAACTGATTGTTGAAAATTTAACCTAAAAACATCAGAGTGTTTGTTTTTTAGATTCCCATATGAAGTCCAACCTGATGACAAGGATTATGAATGCACCTATAATCCATGCTATGACTTCAGTGATGAGCACTGCAAGAATGTCGTTGTAAGTGGCATCAATTTCTACTGGATTTCCTGCTCGTGGTTATCTACTTTCCGTATAATGCCATTGGAGCACACAAGCAAGCCGCGCTGGAAAATGATCGGCTGCCAATCGTAGGAAAATTAATTGGTTTACACGAGCATTTGCTTTTATTTTAAGTTATAATATTTGTCTCAATTAAAGGATTGAAATTATTTTCTAGATTAGTTAATTGTAGAAATTTATACATGTTCAAAGAGATGGACAAAACTACACAGTTTGACATTGAAAAGTGACTGATCAGGATGAATTTTGCAGGCCTGTCAAACCACGAAGGACTACACCTCCTCGATTGGTCTTGGCAAAGCGGCAACAGCTAAGTGGGGCTCGGAAACAAGTGAATCATACACAATATCATATGAAGACAGAGAAACCAGCAGGTGAGAGTCCTGTCACAAAACGAGACAATTGGTTCAACCAAGTCAATCGTAGAAATCTATTTCTTGCTGCAACCATGAATATATTTTGTTAGGGATGCAATGATTTTAATTTCCTTTGACATGCGTATGGTTGCTTAATTAAAGTTGAGGTAAAGTTGTTGATTTGATTTTATAATAAAAAGAAAAAGGGTTAAACTGTTTTTGACAGGTCAACGTTAGTTGAATTAAAATGCGACAAATCTTCCACTACTGCAAGACTTCAGGTTCTAGGAGAAAAGCCAGGAGAGACTGGAAAAATGGTGAATATCGATTCATGGACTTTTAATGATAAAAAAATTATTGCCTTCATTTATCCAGAACATGGAATTACAGAAGAAACGGATCAAACCAAAAAGAGGTGTTTTCATTAAAAGTGAAGTCTAACACAAGGCTGGTTTTGTTTATCCTATTTAATTTAGTATTTTGTTCTCACAACAAATTGTGCATGCCCTGGAGAATGTAAAGGTCCAACACCGACCAAAGAAACAGGTAGTGGACTGGCCATAAGTGTGGGAACGATCATTTGCATCAGGTGAATTACGATTGTAGTGTGTAACAACTAACAATAGTTGTCATATTATGGTCAGCTTTGTTACCTGCAATATCATGCCATTCACTCGTTCTTTCATTCAAATCATATATTTATATTCCATAAAGCATATAGGCCCTTACTCATAATTTCCTAGAAACATCATTACATTATCTTGTTCAATTTTCTGACGTATACATGACGTCATCGCAGTTTTTCAGGACTGGTTATCATCTACTTCATCTGCGGAGTTCTCTTTATGAAGTTTGTACGTAGGGCTGTTGGATTGGAAGTAATCCCCAATGTGTCTCTCTGGATAAGTTTGTCTGTTTACATTAAGGTGAGCTTGTTTAATTAACAAAAGAAAGAGAATTAATGTCACTGTGAAGTCGTAATAGTCACGTGTGGTCGGACGGGAAGTGCCGGAAGGGGGAGAGGAATACCATCCCAAATCACCCAACTGAAAAGACTTTCATAAGTGTCTCTATGTGACTAATAATGTATGAAAAAAAATTAATGGACTTTCTGGGCGATGTGCCAGTAGGATTGTTGAATAAACGATAATTGTACATGTAGTTTTTCTTCGGTTTTGTGCAGGACGGGTTTAAGTTCGTGTTTTCAGGGGGCAAGAGAACGGCAAAGTATGATGAAATCTAGCAGGATCTGAATAAAAGCATCCATGGTGTGACAATGCTACCCCAGAAGATTTGAAATAAACATCAAGCGTGTGGGTAAAACAGAGCAGACAGAGAACGACAGTAACACGGAATGGCTATGGAAATGCATGAGAAACGCAGCAATAATCCATAGTGTTGCAGTATGAGTCTCGACTTAGACCAAGAGAGGGCACAATTTTCTAAGCAACGGAGGCTCCCTTCATAGGAACTTCGCTGGTTCACCAACGACTATGAAATGCACGTGTTTTACGGTCCAACAAAATGAACACTCCCGTCCCATATTACACTTTTCAACCGATGAGGGGGCGCTTCTACCCAAGGCGAATACTTTGACAAGGTTCAGTGCTTCATTCAAAGCAATTATTATTTGTGATCAACTTCTTCTAAACGCGCCGACAGGAAAATAAATCATTATAACACACATTGATGTCGGAATTTCGTTCCAACCCCAGCTTCTCTTTATATATCTACCAAGTCTTAACCCTTGCTATTGATACAAGTGAATTCAGTCATTTTGAACTCTTGTTATGACCTATGCCAGACGGTTGTCAAAGCTTTGTCATATGACCATGACAAACCCACAAGTGTATTGCACTGCAACAAAAATAGAAACTCAAATACGACGGATGGATTTTGACCTATCGTCGCATTTTAGACGGTTGGTTTAAGTAGATCTTTAGCCTGCTGTTTTTTGCATTTATGTTTTCAAACAAACTAATAAACCTTGATCAATAAAGGATTGGCAAACGGCCAGGAGCTAGAGTGTGTTTAGTCTTTCTTTTGTAATGCATTGATTTGAATGATTTCCCAGTTGTTTGGTGTAATTTAGCTATGGGAATGGTTTCAGTCTCTGCATGTCAGTGTTTCGTATGTCTGTTCGAATTCATTGTTTTCCTGCTTGCCGTTCAACTGCGGGATAGCTCTGCTGATCTACCAGTATGTAGGCAGATTGATGGGTGTGTTTGTGCTTTGGATGACGGAAGAGAGGTTAACATTAGCCATCTAGGTGTGCCAGGATTTCCCAAGTAAGTTGAGTCATGTACATATTATAACCAAATCCATACACGTGCAGCTTACTCAATATTACACCTCCAATTAAAACTAAAACAAATGTCGCACTTTCAATGACTTTATCAAACGAGATTATACGACAAAGCTGGCTGAAGTCGGCCACAGGGAAATACGTTTTCCGTACTGACTTTATTTCGTTGTGGCATGGAACTTGCAGATTTGAATACCAAAAAAGCGGCCCGTATGAATACACCTACAATCCATGTTATAACTTTCGAGACGAATACTGCACCTCGGAATGTATAGTGAGTATACCTCTTTATCACTTCTTGCTAAAAAGTGGCATCATATAGGCCTAAAAAGGTATAACCAATGATTTTTTTCTACCATTGTAGTCAATCGGACGTACAGTGTATCTTGCGGCCTTGATATAATTAATAAGCATATACATGTTCTCAGCAACACTCCTAACTTGTTTGTATTCAGGGATATTCTTATTAAGTCGCATTTGGAGTTTCAAAACCCTTCCATAAAGAAATTTGACAGCGAAGTACAACCAAATCAGTTTAAAGATTGTTACTGTCAAAACTGATAGTTTACGATGCATGTTCAGCGCCCATCTATTCTTTCATTTTAGGCATGTCAAACCAATGAAGCCCATACTACCAGCTTTCCACTTGGGACCGCCCAAAGCGCTTCGTGGAGTCAAGATGGAGGCTATTACAGTATCCGTTACACAGATGGTCAGGAAGGCAGGTACAGTGACTAATTATGCAAAGGAAACAAGGATGGGGAAACATGGAGGGAAGTCAATCTCACATATGCAGATAGAATACACAATATCATAGGCCTAGGCTACATATATTTTACGACCACTTCTCGGATGAATCGGGAATAAAGACGTCAGCCTATAAATTCACGTAACAAGCTAGGCTTCTGCAACCCTCAGTCGCATAATTTCCTTCCAAATAGGTCAACAATCGTGGAACTTAGATGCGACGAAACTGCAAAAGAACCAAAGCTTGATGTTTTAGGAGAAATCCCCGACTTGTCGAAAAAATATGTAAGTTAGCTTACTTTTAAAATCGCAAAGGAGTTCGAGATTTATGACTCTTCTGAATTCTTATTTAAAGTTTGCTTTGTTATCTCCATTAAGAATAACTGGGCATTGATTGGACCATTTCTGTAGTATTTTCGGATGACAACGGAATGTGCTTGTCCGGGTAAATGTGGAAAAGCACTACCCGAAGGTGGAATAAGCGCTGGATCGGTTATTTGTATCATGTGAGTTGTTTCAATCATTCAAAATCTCTTTATCTATGATTTCAGACTGTAAGACATAAGAATGCTAAGCTTAAACCCATAAGAATGTATTTTTTATATAGCTAACTTGTACATAAATATTATTTACCCGACAGCTTTGCCGTGTTGCTTGTGGTATATGTTATCGGAGGTGTACTTTTCATGAAGTTTGTGCGAGGAGCAGAGGGCACAGAACTACTACCAAACAGTGGGTTCTGGTTAAGTTTACCGGGATATATCAAGGTAATGTCTTATGTCACTGTTTTCACTGAAGAAAATGGCCTTTGTTTCTATGTCATTAAAAAACTGAAGTGTTTGTAAGTGACGTATTGTGAGGAGGCTACTGCAGCCGAGAAAAAGTGACGCGCGTGCATCTTTTGGCTATATTGATTTATGCATTTTTTTTTGTTTGCAGGATGGTTTCATGTTTATTATCAGCTGTGGAAAGAGTTCATCGTATAAAGATATAAGTTGAAACCTCAATTACCAAGGTGTTAGGTCTATGAAAGGTGAAAGTTTGAATGCTGCAGTTTGATTCTCGATTACGGTCTGATCGATTCCACCTATTCGTCACTCATCTGACCTGGAGAAGTATATCTCATTTCAAGAAAGTATGTCCAGATAGTATGTCTACATAGATGTAGGTCCTAAAGGCAGAAGTTTTGCTTGGTTAACCTAAAACACTCATCCATTATTCACAGCACAGATCGATGAAAATGAAAGTTTAAGAAAACGGTTTTAATAATGGCCGTTTTAAGAGTCACAATGCAATATCTGATAATTTACAACTGCAAGAAAACTAATCCTTCATGCGGACTCTTTTGAGGCCGCGTTTATTCACGATTTTCAACGTACAGTTGTTTGTTCTGTTTGAGTCGAGTTGTTCGTTTGTTATGTGGTTCTATCTTGGATTGCTTGTTGGGTTGTTGACTGGTCTAGGCCTATGCATTATACTTCCCACATACATGTACATGTATGTTAAATGTATGATAAAATATTAGGTAATACGAAGTCACAAGCAAACCGTACGGATTCAGACTGGACTTTGATCTTTTGCATGATTTATTGTCATACTCGTTTGATTGCAGCTTTATACAGGGGGCGATCCGATACATTTGTTGGTTAAACTGTTCTTTCCAATAGAAATTTAGCAGTTATTTCTTCTTTTGGTTATCTGAGAGAAAGTCATAACCAAACTAAACTTCGACAAGCCAAATACTACCTATTACTGTAGCCCTAACTGGAAAAAACAATAAATTCAAGATGGCGTTCCCATCATCAAACGTTAGAGCGACTTGCCTTATCAATGGATTACTCATTTGGACGTTATTATTTTCATCGGCGCGATGTGATCTTCCTAAATGCACTAAAATAGACGACTGTTCGTGTAAGTTGTCAGATGGTAAACGTATTGACATACGCTCCATCGGTTACCAAGGAAAGCAGGCGCCTCGGTAAGATTTCTGTATTAATTTTTAATGTGAGTAAATTTTTAACATACATGCATGTAATCCTCATTCTTGGGAAATGACAAAAAAATACAGACGGTGAAACTAAAAAATTAAGCCGTTCTTTTTCAGGTTCAATTTTCGGCCGGACCCTCTGGGCAACTGGGAATATGCCTTCAATCCATGTTACGACTTCTCAAACACATATTGTAAAGATGTCATTGTAAGTACACACACATTATCGTTTAGAAACACACATTCCCTTTCCCCAGAGAAATATCTTTCATGCTTTTCTTTCTGTTCTTTTTGTTTCACTGAATATTGTTGCAGGCTTGTCAGAAGAACAATCAAGAATCATATGGCTTGGGTTCAGCTTCATCAGCTGTCTGGGGTGATAATGGAAAGCAATACATAATTACATATACAGACGATCTCAGGTAAATATTCCCGAGAAAATTATCTTTGTTACAAGTATTTAAAACAATGAATTACGGACTGTTTATCAAAACGCCTGTGAACTTTGAAATCAGTCTAGCGTATGTCTTCGTTACAAAGATCGTTTGAGTTTCAAGGCAACACTCACGTGCAGGCCTGGCCGGCATTTAGCACATCATAACGACATGTAGAAAAACGTTTGTACTTATGACTGGCCTGTCTCGGGAAAATGGGCACTGCGCAAGAGCATTTACAATACGTGGTGTCAGAATGACTGCTAAAAATTTCTTAAGTCTCGACCAAGGCCGATGAAAAAGCACTGCTAAGATACTGGGAGAATGTCCAGAGAGAGAAGATTCCTCCCTGTCCACCCCGAACGAATAGGCCCACTGTTCTTGCAGCGCTCTGTATTTCTCTGCCTCTATCTTGCAGGACTACGATTGTGGATTTAGTCTGCAGTACAGCAAGTCAGCCTACACTGGATGTATTAGGCCAAACAGATGCCTCTAAAACAAACTATGTAAGTAAACTGTACCTTCAGCTCCGGATGGACACATGGGACATGTAGGAAGAATGGATGACGGTGGCAAAGGATTCACACTTGACATGCTTGAAAGTTGAATCAGCCTACAAAACCATTCTCACGGTCGGACGTAAATTGTTGGACTCACGTCTGGTAGCCCAGGTGGACTCCCTGACCATACTACATTAGGGAGGTCAGTCGTAATGAAATGAAGACAACGTCCAACCTGGGCTAGGCAAAAGGGCAACTACTCTCCACTTTGTAGGGCCTACAGGGATTTGCATGTTTTCCTCCTTCTTTGCTGCAAGTTATGACTGAAACCTTTTCGATACAGTGTTGGAGATATTCATAGCGCATAAAAAGTAAAATTTCAAAATTTCAGTCACATTTGATGTAAAAGTTAAGAGTTTAGTCAATAATTCAGATTGTCCCCATAGACGGCAACACTATTCTTTTCAGCCTGAAAAGAATCCGACATTTCTTTCTTCTTAAAAGTCAACGACTCCAAATTGCTGTTATACTAATAAGATGGCCTAGACCTCATAAACAAATTTTGGACAGTTTGATATTGACTTACCCCTTGCATGCATGCCTCGCGCTTTTGCAGTATTTCACCTTAACGTCGAAGTGCGCATGTCCGGATGGTTGTCAAGCTCCAACACCGCCCTCATCGTCCGGACTGAGCTCTGGCTCAATACTCTGCATCATGTGAGTAATTAGCTTCAGGAGCATTTTCATTTTTTAAGAATTCGTGACAAATTAGATTAGGAAATTACAACCAATTACATTCTCTAGCTCAATAAAAAAGAAGTTACTTTTTGGGGAGGGGGTGGCTTTGAAAGTAGGGCCAGGATACATAACCGTTTCCCCCTTCCCTTCAGCATCTGGCAAAACTCCTTCCTCATCATTCCTCTTCAGTTTTTCCGTGCTGGTCTTGGTCTATTTCATCGGTGGAACCTGCTTTATGAAATTTGTTCGAGGCGCCAGTGGAAAAGATGCCATACCCAATGCAGATTTCTGGACTGAGTTACCTGCAAACATTAAGGTACAGCAAACTACTGTCCTTTTCTTTACCACAAGAAATTTTTTTCAAATTCAGTTATATTTCCGAGACATCAAAAACGCTCTATCCTTTCTTACTTCAGGACGGGGCTAAATTCACCGTTGGACTTTGCAAGAAGGAATCCAAGTACGAAGACTTGAGTTAAAAAATGATCAAGGAGCACCTGGACATCAGTGACATTTGATCAGTTTAATACTGACAATCCAAACAGAATACATGAACTTGCATGACACATGTAATACAATGGCATGTTGTCATACTTTTGTTTCGTTCCTTACCTGAAAAATGAAAAAAAAAGTGGCGGCCACATATCACTGCAATCATAATTTGTGTGATTGAAATACATGAAATAAAGACACTTCCTGCAGTCCTTTTATTATTTGCATCAAAAACCAAATGTTTGCTGTTACAGACCATGTACACCCAAGTGGTAATGCCCAATTTTTCCCTCGAAAAATAGCAAGCTGCCTCTTTTACAAAATATTCAGGGAAATGGCAATTTATAAAGTTTCTGAGCACACTTACTTGGTTACAAGATTTGAATGAATTTGCAAGATATGCCCATTACAGGAAGAATTACAGGCAAGCTTTAATTTGGATATCGTTTTTATGTGCAATACATTCAATGTATTGGACAGCTGCTGATTAAATCAAAATTCACAAACCAATTGTTTAAATAATGACACACGTAACAATAACTGTATATCCTACCATGTTAAATTTTAAAACTCATTATTTCTCCCAATTTTCTGTAACATTCAGGAGTTTATCCATAATTATGGTGCATGTGTGATGTGTGAATATACCCATATGCCTTCAGTGAAATTCTGTTCTAAACTGAAGTCAAACAATACAACCACACCTTTTAAAAACGTGCAACAAAAAATGAAACAATTGCAAATAAAATGAAATGCTTCAAACACTTTTGCTTGCACCATAAACGTCATAATTAAGTGAAAGTATATCAAAAACCCCAACTTCAGTACCAATCAACTGAAATGCTAAAATAACTACTCTGCATAATGTTCTGCAAGACACCAGGAATCACAACTAGAAAGAAATGAAATATCACGATGTCCCAATCATTCCAATATAACAGACAAAAGCAATGCTAGGAATAAAACCTGGCATACACATATAGATCACATTACTTAGACTATTTATGTCATTGGTCAACTATCCTGTATGCCAATTGGCTCAAGCAAGACTCAGTTGAACAGCAAAGGTGACATGCTGTTTGAGGCTGTCCACACTAGGCAGTGGAGATGCTAGTTGCATGGCACTCCAAGAGCCATTGTTAGATGGAGGGGTAGTTCCATATGATAAGATCTGGTTGCTGGATGACAAAACACCTGTTATCAATCAAAAGCAAACCATAGTTTTGTTGGAGGTATAAGATCTGGCTGCTGAATAACATAACTGTCAGCAATAAAACTTAAATCAGTTGATATAGTCACGAAGTGTTCTTGCAATGCTAAAGTACATGCCATACTTTTGATATGGATGGCACATCTAGCTTCTAAACTGCACATACAATTTTGTTGCGATAAATAATGCCCTTATCTGTCAAGGCATAGAGGAATGCATTACATTTGTCACTAATAACTTACTTGCAATGGCCGGGAATGCTGTAACTCCTGCCTGTGTTCTGTACAGCAGCATGTTGCCTTGAAGCATAACACCACTGACAAATATGGCATCATCAATCTCAAGGAGGACAGGTGAATCACTCATGACAGAACCACTCAGTTTGTGACTAACACCATTCACTGTGACTACCACAGAGACACATGCACTGGTCTGGGGTACAGGGGCACAATCTTGATGACTTGTCGCAATCTGAAACCAACCAGAAACAGGCACAAGATGATGATGTAAAACGACAGTTTGCACGGCTGCCATGTTGCAGGCCAGTGCTTTTGTTCCATGGGGTCTGAACAAAAGAGGTCTCCCTATGGAACAAGAACTGCCCTGCAAGGTGGCTACCACGCAAAGCCCCGGTAGTCATTCAAAGACTACTAATGCTCTGTTTGCTTTGAAACCTTTTCAAATCAAGTAAATGACAACTTGCAGGAAACAAAAAACCCAAAACAAGCAAACAACCCCCCTCAAAAAGTCTTTGGATTAGTTTACTCATTACCGCATTTAACAATGAGGAAGACTCTGTAATCCTTAATAAATGCTGTATTGAATTTAAGTTAGACGCTAAATGCCATGGCTGTTGGAGGAATCAGAGCTGTTGGATTAGATTTAATGTATCTTGTTACCTGAATGCCTATTTCTTTGGCTACAACTCCAGCATTCACCAGGTTCATGCCATTTGATGTACTACTTCTCAGTAAACCCACTGTTACAGCTGCTCCAAGGTACGACCCTGCCTGTTTTAAGCTGTCACCTGCATCAAGCAAACAACATCACCAAGTAAGCTGGCATTCATCCTCAATGCTGTGAGTCTAAGAAAGTTCTTTCAGATCAATAGTATCATTTTATCAACTCAAAAAATGGCTGAGACAACTTGGCCGTGCCTTGGTTTATGATAAAAACGTACTAATCCAGCAACCAGAATTGGAAGCCATTACTACTGGGCTAAATGTACAGCTCTTTGGGCCGCCTTGCGAGAATTGCACCTTATAAAGACGATTATTATGATTTCACTGTTTGCACACAGGTAGCATGCAGGTTGCATTTCTCTAAGACCAACAGGGTGTTGTGACTTATTCAACAGCCTCATGCTCTTTTCTTTTCTCTTCACATTTGTACATGGACTACATGGACTATTTTATAAATTGTAATGTTCTTTTTGTTTCATTAAGTACATTTATCTGAAAGAAAAATTATTTACATCCACTTTGCTAATTTCAATGTACCAAGTTTCTTTAACTTGTATGTATTTTCTTATCCCATTCATCAATTTCTAAGTACCTTGTTCCCTTAATTATCAACGTAATTTTTGTTTTGAAATAGAGTATGGAATAAACATCTTCTTGAATTGAAAGTCCCCGCTCAAGTTAAAACCAGTGTGTGAGTGTGATGGCCCTGCAGGAATGGTATCTCATATTTGTCTACAGCTAACCAAGGCTCTAATAGGGAATCAAGGGTTGCAGAAACATACCCAAGGATACTGGCTTATTTGACCTCTGTCTGATATTATGCTGTTGCTTTAACCTCAGAGAAAGATACTGCTTTCAAAGGCACTTGGACACAAGACATAAGTTGCTCATTGCTCAGCGCAACTACTTACCATATGTGATGACTTGGACTTGGGTTTGGTTGGTAACTTGTCCACATAAAGCTGTAGCCACAGCTCCTAAACATTTCCCAAGTGCCACAAATGGCTTTGTCTCAGGCTTGAGGGCATTGCTTAAGGCATTTGCATTAACCTGTGATGTAAGATATAAACGTATTGAGGTCAGGATAGATGAAGAAAAGTAGTCAACATCTGCGCAAGGTTTGTGATATGAAATCTATAAACAAAATAGTGAGACAGATTAGCTTTATCATTTCAATGAAGAATTCCTTAAAATATTCATCTTTTTGAAGGACTTGTTATAAATACTGTAAAGGCTTAAGAGAAATTTATAAATTTACCGTGCTCTGGCAAGCCTTGACCCTGGGATCTTCAGCTTTATTTGTTAATGTGTAGATTTCATAAGCAGTCAACCTGCAGATTTGTTGGGGATGGCTGACTGTTAAAAAGGCTGGGTGAAATAATTATACTAGCACTTACTGCACCAAAGAGTGATTTGCCATTCACTGCATCCACAAACTGCTCAGCTATCTCCATGGCAACACGTAGTTGAGCTTCCTCTGTGCTTGCTCCAAGATGAGGGGTGCAAACTACCTTATTGTGTTGTATGAGGGCAGTGTTGGTTGGTGGTTCCTGAAATATTGACAAATGATCTTTACAGTTAACCCAACACTGAAATTCCGTGCGATTACGGAAAACTAAAATTGAATTATGAACAAAAAATACCACAGACAGAAAATGCAGTTATAAGCCACATGCATTTTATCAAATTAAAAAAGAATACATGTTCAACTGCTGTGAATCCGTCAATTAGGGTCAAATCCACCTCCTTCCTCCATCCTCTTAGCACATGTCCACACACCTGTTCAAAAACATCAAGTGCTGCCCCTCCACACTGACCAGACTCCAATGCTTTGAGTAATGCAGCTTCATCGATGACTCCACCCCTAGCAACATTGATGACACGTACACCACTTTTGCAGAGTGGGAATGTCTTTTCACCAAGCAGACCTTAAAACAGTGACAAATGGTAAATATTTTTCCATAATCAATCACAGAACAAAGGAATTGAAGAGCTGAGTCACTGCACAAAATATCCCTCAATAATGCCTGCCAATCTAACCAATTCAACAGCCATTTTGCTGCCCAGATAAATAGTGTGGACTTAGCTGCCGCAAGAAGCAGATTACACCTTTAAGCCCTTTTCACATGACGTCAAAGAAACTCTCAAGGCTTGAGACACATTTTCGGAGCGGGGATTGTTTACTTTACAAACTGCGATCATGTCCTTTCACACGACACCCTGTAACATTTCCTAAGCATTCCTTGAGACACGAACGCTTTTTCCACGGGTTGCCAGTGAACTCCACACTTACTGAGCACAATACTGCTAGTACCAGCGCAATGTGAGGTCAAAGGTTGGAGACCATCGATGAAAATGGCTGACGCCTCATCGGCAGAGTCAAACTTGCAGACGAAAAAATGTTCTCTCGAAACCGATGTTTCGGAGAGTACCAAAACGCAGAAAAATTCCAAGAAGGGCTGGGAGTATGATGAGACTCTCAGCCTCATAACTGCCATGGAAAATGCAGCGATTATGGCAAAAATGGACAGCATGGTCCTCAATAGCCACGTGTGACGGGAAGTCGCGGGAGGTATTCCCAATTGCACCAGCCAGCAGTGCCACGATCGCTGCACCCTGGACATGCCTGAACATAAATGAAGTTAAAAGCACACACGCTAGGTCATTGCAGGGGACGTTGTACAATAAACAGTGCGTCCATTCACACAACCGTTTCTCATGGGTTGCTTGAGAAATCTTCCGCTAGCAGAAGATTTTGTCATAGGTCCGGACCTCCTCCAAAATATCTAAAGGATTCACCAGGAATGCTTGTCACTCTCAAGCATTGGCGACGTTTCACACGATGGCACGTTTGTAAGATTTCTCAACCATGAGAAAATTTCTCGAACCTTGCTAGTTTTTTGTTGTCGTATGAAAAGGGCTTTAGAGCCTGCTAGAACAAATGTTTGAAATACCATCAAAGCGAAACTTAGCTGGGTGTACCTCTTGTTTGTGGGATCAAAGGGACGTGCACAGTGACGTAATCAGCCTTTGGCCAAAGTTGTTCCAGTTCCATCCACTCAGTATTAAATTCAGCAGCCTCAGATGCTGGGACAAGAGGATCATAACCTATTGTCTAAATCAAGACAATCATAAAATGCTGTAAGTCGTGGATCCTGACAATTTAATCAGACTACAATAAATCAGAAAAGTACATGTATATCAAAGTTAGACTTGTACTTTGATTGAAGTCCAAACTATATCAAATGTTGGGTTGGATCAAGCAAATTTCAGAATAAATTTAATCTCCACTTTTACTCTATCAGGTGCAACTCTGTGGCTGGGTGTTTTCATACATGTATCTGAATTTGTAGTTTTTAAGGGGGAAGCTGATTAATCAGTGTTTGGGTTATATTCAACTCCCATTCCAACTAAACTGAAAGCTGATGAAGAAAATCAATTGTCAAACTAAGAAGAGAAAAAAGCAGACTATGTCAATGAAAATGGACAGTACAAAAACTACAATCCCAACAGAGAAAAACGGGTGTTCACAGGGCACTGATCTACGTCCCCTAACATTGACAATAAAAATAAAATTACAAACTCGCACCAAATCTTACCGTCATGCCAAATGACTGCATTCTTGTTGCTACTTCTTTGCCAATCTTGCCTAGACCAATAATGCCTAATGTCTTTCCATTTAGCTCATTACCCATATAAAGCTTGCGATCCCAACGTCCCTGCTTTAACGACATGTGACCTTGGGGAAGATGTCTGGCAAAAATACAGAATTTTTACACAATCATTATAAATCATTGCTATTAGGATTAAGAGCTCTAAAACAATGGATAAAGTTTTTACAGAATGATCATGAACCATGTGAAGGATAACTTAGATCTATACCTCAACAAGTATTAATCCACTGAAGAAATCTAGAATTTAAAATCTGGCAAGTCACTAAATAAATAAAGCAAATGCATGATCAATCCACCCACCTTGACATAGCACATATCATGGCACAGGTATGTTCAGCAGCACTCAAGGTATTTCCAGCAGGTGTACTGTTTAAAAAATGTATTTATTAAGGGAGTTACGATCACTGCCACAAGACTGTGATGCGATATACGCTTACTCTAGAGTGTAATTCAACATTTGATTTCCATCAGAATAGAAAATATTTGATAGTATATACATGATGCACAAAATCCAAAACAACTGATAGAATGTAAAGATCACAATGAAATTATCTTACTTCATGACAATGATGCCATGACGTGATGCTGCACTAACATCAATGTTATCAACTCCTGTTCCTGCTCTGCCAATGATCTTCAAGTTTTTGGCAACATCCATAACATCTGCCGTAATCTTTGTGGCAGAGCGGACAATCACTCCATCATAATTCTAATGCGTGAATAAAGGGAGAAAAGAATAAAGTTTTAATTGAGACAAAAGCATACCTGAAATTTTTTATAAGTACATTTAACCATTTTTGTTTACTGTATTTTTATATCTGGTTGTAAATTGTAATTGGTTTTAGAAATGGCCTTATTAGTCCATCCTCTCATGCACCTTCGATACCCCTTGCTCAGTCTGTGGTCACACTGCAAAGCCAGTTATCTTTGTGTATTTGCAAAGGTCCTTGCAAGTTGCCAACTCCTTCACCCTGGGAATTTCTCACTCATAAATCCTTCAACAAATGAGCTTCATGAATGTAGCTGTTAAAGCATGAAGAAATAACATTCTGATTGGAAAGGCCTTGAAACAGAAAGATCAGCGGACAAATTTAAATGTAGCTTTGAAAAACCCTTGTGAGCAGTGGTGTGTGGGGGGGGGGACCTGGGGGCCACGTGCCCCCAGGTCCCCCCCCCAAAAAAACCCTGGATATTTAACAAGGCTAACCAAACTTGCCCCCAAAAAACCACATCATTGAAAGCTGGTGCCCCCCATACGATGCTGATGGCCCCTTGTGCCCCACTAGTAAAATCCTAGCTACCGTTACGCAACTGCTTGCGATTCAAATCATGGAAGATTGGTAGTTAAGCCATGGAAAAAGCTTTTTATGAAATGCCAACCTAAAATTCTACAAGAAATACAACCCTTAGGAAAGTAAACTTTGACCCCTCGAAGGAGTCACTATGATACAGAAAGATGTGAACCCTGGATCTGGGGCTGTGTACGGCGTGGCAATGGAATTTCCCCAAAACCTTTCCAACACGCGCACGAACGTTGCATAATGATAATAGGCCTAACTTATGATAATGTCAAAGGAACCCTCTGTTGCCGAGATAGAATTCAGTCAACGGATAAGCCTACCAATCATGCCATAATTGGGGGGGGGGCACTTTTAAAGCAAAATACCGCAAGAATTGGATGTTGTGCTACGCCGGGTTGTATATAATTACAATAATTAGGGCCCTAGTAATATCATAATATTAATTAAGGTAATTGCAACTGGACCCAATGCTCAACGCGACGAGGCCCTACTGATTGCAAGCGAATCGAATTCACATGTCTCAAACTTTAGCAAACACTCAAATTCCATAAATACGATTTGGGCCAGAGAAATGTTGAGTCAGATAATCCGTAACGCTAGCTGAATGGTTCCAAACTAAAGTAGCCGCATTAGACTATAAAATATAAACCTCAACTCTACGGCCTCATCTCACGACTCTCGCCGGCGTCGCCGGCCAGGACGCCGGGGAAGTTGAAGTTGTGGACTGTGATCGCAGCTGGCTACTCACCGGAATTCTTGCCAGAAGCTCTTCCTTACTCAGTTTAGCCACCGTATCTGTTTGGATACCGTTATCTTGTAGTATTTGAGCACAGCAGCTCGCCACATTATCCAAAACAAGCACATTTCTCAATGTGAAAGCCATTTTGCTTGACAGGATCTTCCGAAGCATTGACAAAGTCGTGAATCATATGGCATTGGCAATACGTCCATGCGCGAACTGCGCGAACGGTGGTTTCCCGTTACACGTACCAACTGCATGATCAGACACGTGGGTAGCAGACCCGCGCATGTACCATACCAGACAGACTAGTGTCAAGTTGACGAGTACATGTTTTATGACGGCACATACATGTACGTAGGCCTACCCCAGTCGCGCCACCAGATATGAACCGAGTACAGAAGTGTGAAAAAAATCCATCCGAATAAAGTGTGAATGAACGTACGGTTAGATCGAGGCAAAATGAAGACTTAAAGGGAAAAATGTAAAATGGACACTTAGTATGGTGGGTTTAATGTAAATCCAACAATGCAAAATGAGGTTAATTGTAATTTATATGCGCTTTTTAATTAACCGAATTACGGTATGTCAGTCATATGAAAAAAATGAATAAATCAGCAGCAGATGAGATGACGGTTAGTACGTGATTTAATTTCTTATGGGAACAGTGTACGGAAATGAAAATTCTAATTAATTGTTACGTACTTAAGTTGCTCGAGACAAACTGCTACTTCTAATGTAAAATGTTAATAATCAATGTTTGTCAGATGAACACGGGTGTAAAAGTATTCTGGGGGAGAAACCTTACAAATTCTTTTTATAATTCTTGTACACTTTTAACCAAAAACATCTAAGCAAAACTTTCAACATGGCAAAATCTTTTTATAAATATGTATGCACAATTTGTTATTTGCAAATGAATAATGGAAGTTGTTGTGAATAGAAAATATAGCAAAAGCTATTAATTAAGACGAAGTTAATTTCATTTTTTCGGTCCAACAGCTTCTGGATATGGAATATGGAACAACTTCCATATCCAACTTGGAGGATATGGAACCATTAAGAATTTTTAGCTTACATCTATTTAGCAAACAAGTCATTTATTGGGGAAGCCAAGGCAATGTCATAATTAATGCGCCAGTTTGACCACTGTTCTAGCAGAAATATTAAAATTAATTCTGACGTATTCCTACTTAATTACTGCTGACAACAGTGAGATTTTTGCTAGCAAATCAAACAGATCAAGTACATATGAATTTATTTAACAAATGAGCTTATCACAGCTCCTCCTGAAGGCATGCAGAATTGGCATCAACAGCTGAGTCAAATCCATTTCGGGACATACTAATACAAACGTACTGTATGTTATATTTGACAGACAAGAAATCAAAAACTATTTACTAGCAAAAACTAAGTAATTATAAATCAATTATAAATCCAACTTTCTTTCGTTTTGGTAGAGGAAAAGAAAGGCTGAAAGATGAAGTATCTGCCCAGAACCTACATGTACGTTAAGGCATAAATTTAACACTTCCCAAAGTAGATGTTTCAGTTTGACAAAATATTTTAATAAAGTCTGTTTATGTTATCACAGAAAAATACAGTTTAGGAATAATCTGATTAAACTAGATATTATTTGTCAATACATGTACATGTGTTTACAAAAGCTGCACAATAATTCCACATTCCTGATGCCTTATCGAAAAGCCCACACATTATTGCACATCACATGAATATTATCATTTCTTTGGAAATGAATGAAAACAAGTGACAGAAAAAAACCAAAGAATAAACAATAAATCGCTTCATTCAATCCCTCCTTTACATTTTTGGTAGAAACCAAATCAGCCTTCGAGCGTAAAGAACATTTGCTACACCACCAAGCACATCATGTTTGCCAAGTTCTTTTTCAGTCTCAAATTTTGACGCATGTACATGTAACTATGGGAACTTGGACACTGAAATACATTTTGGTCATGTGAAAGTCTTTATACATGTACATGTATAAAAATCAAGGAGACCAGCATATCTAGTTCAATTAAAATTTCTGGGACATGTACACCTACACTTGAAGCTGTACGAGTTACAAGGATTACCTAAAAATATTTGAAAAAAGGCATTTGGGGGAGAAGAGGGGTGGATAGGTGTTTTGGCAGATGTACAGTTACAGATTGAACGTTGTTTTATTTCTGATCTTGGAAACAACTACTGAAAAGGTCTGCTCACTACAGTTCAAGATTTAAGTCCATGATTAGTATGTGGAGGATGGGGTCCCAAGGTGAAAATTAAGTTGAAAGTCATTTGATTAACAGACAAAAATATGCATTTGAAAACAGTTTTAAAATCCAATCACACGTTTGACAGAAAGTATTTCAGTCATAGGAACTTTTAACCAATCCTGATCAATATGTAACTATTTATTATTCCCATGTTCATTTGTATCATCTTTCCATTCTCCAGCAAAACCAGATATCCAAGCTGACACCGCTGACTTTGCACTACTAAGAGCGCCCCCAACAGCCTTACCAGTGTGTAACATGGCAACGCTGGTACGATTGAGGGCGCTGTTTATTTTCTTGCCTCTCTCTGTAGTTTGCATAGCACTGTAAAGAACAAAGGGCACAATTCAATACACAATGAACAATTTATCTTAAAAGTCATAACATCACAGTGGCTTCAGGCTTGCAAAGGCTTGAAGTCAGTATTCAGCAAAAGCATCACGTATACCCTGGCAGGATGCCTTTTGGGACTGGTAAGGGAGTGGCTAGTGGAAATATAGTCAGAGGGTGTCAACAAAGGAAACCTTTGATGGGATCCAAGTGGATAAACATCAAAAGACACGAATAAAACTGCTAGGTTAACATGCCAAGAGACGTTTACATGAATCTGAAATAATCTTTACATTCCTGGTAATGTAGTTACCTTTGTAATCTTATTTTCATGTCCTGTACACTGAGCTGTCCCTGACATGGATGGCTGGAAAAGAAACCACAACTTCACAAATAAACTCTAAATAATTAAGAAGCTGCAATATCAATTTCTCATAGGAAAAGATTTCATGAAAAATGCCACAAAAGTACAGCCAACAAAATAAGTAAAATGAGGAAGTGCACCTTGCAAGAACGTAATCGATTCCAGGATGCTGCTCACTCATCCAGATTCGATAGTTGTGAGTTGTCTTCCATGCACTGACAAAATGGTCGTTAAAATCACTCATGTCCTTCTCGTGGCCTATCAAAAAATACATAGCACACAATCTTCAGTCACTTTCTTCATACAATGTTCCTTTATCAGAAAAGAGTCTTTTTATTATATTTCTGCCTCTGATGATAAGCAGTCCTCTAGTAATATCTGTTTACTGTTCATCCTTTGAGAAGAGACAGTGAAGAAATGAAGTCCTGTTTAAACAACTTACGCTGATGCAGAGCAGTTGCAAGCAGTGATAGAAGATACACCTTGAACTGTGCTCGTATCCATTCATCTCCACCTTCCCAACCTATGTCATGATGAATTGTACACAAGAAATCAAACTAGCTTTTTCTACAGTTATCCTTCAAGCAGTAACAGCAAACTGGTTTTTAGGATCAAATGTGATGCACTCTTGCACCCAACTTTAAAGGCAATTAAATGTACTGACCTGTGTTGTTTAGGTACACATCCTCACTCTTGTCAGACACATTCTTGATCAGGAAATCAACAAATCTCAGGTCAGCAGTTGACAAGCTTAGCTGTTTACGAAGTTCTGGGTCAAACACAATCACTTTGCCTTCCTCAACCTGAACAAAAATTAGACACCAAATTCAAGGAACATTAAAGATGATTTTAGTCATTGATATCACAATCAACTTAAGTAACACATGCAAAACCTCAGAAAAGCATCATTTCTCATGGAGGTAAAAGCACTCCTTGAAACAATTTTTTTTCAATATAACTGAGTGAAATTCAATCTGGATGGTTTCATGCAGTGGCCTAAGAGTTTTAAACAAACACTTTTGTACAGGATTGCAATTCACAGATGCATGGTGCCATATATTCTGTTTATCCTACCTCAACAAGTACATCTAAAAGGTGTCTACGCTGCTTAAATAGCATGTTGGATGCACCAATCAGGAAGCAGCGAACATTGACATCTTTCAGAAGATCATGCTGTTGTAGAGACATGTATGGATGACACAAAGATCCCTGTCAGAAAAATCAGATCAGAAGAACATTGATATCAACTATTACAGGCAGACCGGAACTTGAAAAAACTGTTTCACAGCACAAGAAAGCATTTTGAAATTCACTTCATCTGTTTTGATCAAAATCACTAATTACCTTTCCAAACAATGACAGTGGGAATCCAAAGTCATCTGCCTTGAGAGTTGACATTGATGGACAGTTATTTTGTAAGACCACAAAATCATCAGCACCACTTAATCGTTGAATGCCTTCCTCCTGTAAAGGCAAAGTTTGCTCCGTCTTATGCTTGACTGAGTCACCCTCATTGGTATCAACATGTTCAACGTAATCTGTGTGCTTTCTTAATACAACTTCAGGTGGAGGTTCCTGACTGATTGCACATGAATGTTGTTTGGGGTCGCTGATTGAATTAATGTCTGATTTGCTTTCTTTAGGTGATGTTCCAGACTCTTTAGGTTTAATTCTTGAATCAGTTTCACTGTCTCCTTCACTCAGTTTTCTTCCTTCAAAGTATGGACCGTACAATTCTTGATCAATTAGTGCTAATAGGTCCTCCTCAAGTGACTTGGCTGAGACTGGTGTTTGGTTTCCTTCTTCCACATCAGGCTTGGAGGAAACTGACTGCTCTCTCTTTAAGCTCTCTGTTTCCCCCAATGGGTTCATTTCCTGGCAGTGCTCTGCACTGACATCATGGTGTTGATTTGAAAACAAAGAATTTCCATTATCCACCGAGAATGATGAGGCAATGGATTCTGGGAGAGCAGAGTCTCTGGTTAGTGTACTGTCAAATGAGCAAGAACCTGTTGCTTCCGAGTGATTTGAATTCTCTTGATTGGAAGAAGACTCTTGCGTTGAACTGAATAATGAAGTACTTGAGCTTCCAATGTTATCACTGGTAGTCTTTTCCTTAGTGTCACTGCTTTTCTGTTTCTTCTTACGATAGTTAGGTACATGTGACATCTTGACATCTTCATATTCTTTGGTATCAATACCAAAGTCATTGAGTTCCAGAGATGGAGTTGGTGGTCGGTAGTGTTTGTAAGATGCTGCTTCTATTAAACCATGTTCAACCATTGCTGGAAAAAAGATCCAATTATAAACGTTACAAAACAAATTCTTGCCTGCCAGCTGTTTTACATCTTTTCCAAACAGAAAGGGTGGAACCAGTCCTCACGATTTAAATCAATTAACATCTGGATAAGATTAAAATATAATTACACTGATCTTAATTTTGACATTTTCTCCCATTTACGGAAAGAGACATAAGAACCTGATTATTTACATACCTGGAAACAAGGACACAAGTGAGAGCAGAGATGTGCACAAAGTATGTACAGGTTGAGCAAAGAATAAAACACGTCTCTCTAACAGAAGCAACTTAAATAACACCAAGACCTGGGGATCAAGAACAATGACAGGGGTGTACTACATCAGTGCTATTCTGCTCACCCCCAAAAGAAGTTGATTTACTGAATATACTATGAATGTTCCAAACTCAATGTCACAAATTCACTTCAAAAAGGAACACAAACTCTCACCAGCATTGTTAGATAAAACATACATACCTTATGCTTGAATGTTAAAATTAAATCTCTTAGTGAAAGATCCAGGAATGCCTGAGAATCATCAAGTTGTCCTGTCGTCAAAGATCCATTTAGACTGTTGTACAACTCCTGATACAAGTAAAAGCACAGAGTCTACAACTTTTAAATTCTAAAAGGAATAAGAACGAATATGAAAGTAGCTGGGAGTTGGACTTATCTCTTTTTCATCTGGAACAAAGCTTAGCTGAAGCCAATGCCCTGCAGTCATGAAAATTGTATCAAACCCCTTGACAAACACACTTGAAGTAAAGTTGAATGATCTCATTTAAATGTTGATTTAAGTGTCTTCCTTTTTAAACTCAACAATCATCCTACATCAATATGCAATGTGAGGCTTCAGCACTTACTACGAGGACTGATGTCTTGGAGAAATCCCTTTCAATGAAGTAGGCATGAGTGATCAATTTAAGTTTGGCTTGAATTAAACCGTACAGCGGCTGAAACAGAAAAAAAAGGAATCACGTTTTTTTTTTTAAAATGACTCCTGTACCAGACTTTGGGTTCCTCAGTCAAAGCCAGCAGGTCAGTATACGCATAATCTAAGTTAAGAGTAACAATGTCTCTGAATTTCTGGTACATAGATATATGTAAATGTGCAGAGAACTAAATGTGAAAGTGAAACCACACTTGACAAATCTTATATAAACTAAAACTAAAATTGTAAAGCACTAAAATTGTCTTCACCGTTGAGCAACTTTAGACATCAGTGTTTATCATAAAAGTGTTGATTCAGTATTGAAGAACTCATAGCATGAGTTACTCACATCTCCAGCACTTTAGGCATTCAAGCTACTCAGCTATTATTACAAGTCACGTTTGCAGAACTAAAATTATACTAAGAATTACATGTACCATCTTTTGGTTCCTGGATCACTATCTTACCAATGTGCTAAGAATGCAAACACTCTTCTGCACAGTGCCTCTTGTAAACTCCTTGTCCTTACTCAACAAATCCTAATATACCAAAAATAAACAAATGAAACTAAAACCACATTAGATATGGTGTAAGCATGCAGGTCTCTTAAATAATCAAGAAACAGTTGGAGTTCAGTATATGTACGCGTAATGTAAAGCGCTAAAACGAATGGAATTGTGAATGAGGAAATAGGAAACTAAACTAAAAATATTTACTATGAAGTACAAGAACAATGCACACAATAGTCACTGAAAGCTAGGCAAGCCCAATCTTCTCCTGGTCATCAGAAACAGTTTTTTTAAACTGACACTATGCTAACACATTATTGTAATGCAGGTCAATTACATGTGCATGTACTCTACACATGTACACGTACCAGCATTTTTATCAAGCTTAGTGCATGAAATGCATGCAACCTTAAAACTTTTTACAGCAACTTGAAAGACATCTGCTGATTACAGCATCGATCACAAAAAAACTTGAAAATGTAAGTGTGAGAGTTGTACATGTAATTTTCATAAAAATACTGAAACCTGTTATACATTAGATACAGTAAATTTAACTGAATTCATTTGCACACGTATCTTGCGAATGCTTAATCACTGCATTACATGAACTGGTGAACTTATTTTGTGATTTACAATACACACTCTCCTGCTCACAACAGGAAACTGCCGTATCTTCCTTCTGTGACACAGCACCCATTTTGACTAAAAATAATACAGGAAATTATTCAACTAAAGGACGCTTCCTTCTGGATACAGCTGGTGCTGGTGTACATCTCTTCATGACACTTTGCTGATTACGATTTGAAACCACTCATGATTATTCAAGACACAAATTTGAATCAAGTCTATCAATATGACAGGGTGGATAACAAGTGCTCTTGTTTTTGTCATCTGCTCCAATTGGGAATAGCAGAAGGGGTGCTTCTACACGGCATTAAATGACAGTTTTCAGGGGGACCCACTGTGTGAACGTATGGGTTTTGCAATATTACCATCAATCATGTCAATCAAAATGACAGAAATTTCCAATTAAATGTCCTAGAATCAAGTATGGATAATGACATGTATACCTTTGTGTCAATTTGCCTGTAGCAGGAAACACCATATACGGTATCCCGCTTCTCATCTTTTCCTGGTAAATGAAAGTAGATAGTATCTGCAAACAATACAGGAAAACATCCATCTGTCCTTTTTAATGTTATTCAACATTAAACAAAGTATATGTACATGTACATGTTTGTATTTAATGAGCTAGCTACATGTAGCTTGCATTGTAAGCATTACAAAGAACTACAACAGGATGATCCAATTATGATATTGAAACTTTTCTTTTCATTCTCAAACTCTAACAATCAGCTGATAAAATACTGCAATTAGCAAACTTCATGGATAATTTCCAGTAACATGTCAGCTTGGACCAGGACTATTTTCTACATGTATTTTACCTTCAAGATAATTGTGAGCACCATCAGGCAGAGCAAGGAAGGGAAGATGTTTCCATTCTGATGGAATATCTGAACTGTTGCTACATTGTCCTTCTATCAATGGTGGATACGAGAAATCAACCTGTAAAATGCAGGTTTACAAATATGACTGACACAAATACATACCGGTATAAGATGGAGTTTTAGGGTTAACTGTACAATAATACAGAATAACTGACCAAGTTTGATAAAAGGCCATTTGTCGACCAGCGCTGCTGAATACGTATGGATTGGCAATGTGGTCACTAGTGCAGGTCTATAAGCCCTGAAGGACTTTGAGGCCCACAGAACCCTTCTGGTAACTCACAGGCCCACAGGGGCCATAGCCGTGCATGAGTGATGACCTCATCATTATGCCATATTTTTTACACACCCCTCTGTCTAAAATTTAAAATATGAAAGAAACTTTTCCGGGTTTTACATGTATATCTAAAATGTTTGAATTCAACCACAAAACGTATTCCAAGAGCAATTCACTCATTAAGTGAGTTTGTGGCATTGGATATTGGTAGCTTACTATCTGGTGTTTAAAATTATGTGAATGGGTACTGTGGGCCTGCACATACCCTGTTGAATTTGGACTGAATGGGTACTGTGGGCCTGCACATACCCTGTTGAATTTGGACTGAATGGTACTGTGGGCCTGCACATACCCTGTTCAATTTGGACTGAATGGGTACTGTGGGCCTGCACATACA